TTACAAGCAGAGGCTTTTACACACAGAAGCTTTTACACACAGACACTTTTACACACAAACGCTTTTACACACGGACCCTTTTACACACAGACCCTTTTACACACAGACGCTTTTACACACAGGCGCTTTTACACGCGGATGCTTTTACACACAGAAGCTTTTACACACAGAGGTTTTTACACACAAACGCTTTTACACACGGACCCTTTTACACACAGACCCTTTTACACACAGACGCTTTTACACACAGGCGCTTTTACACACAGACGCTTTTACACAAACACTTTCACACACAGAGGCTTTTACACACAGAAACTTTTACACACAGAGGCTTTTACACACAGAAGCTTTTACACACAGGCGCTTTTACACGACACTCTTACACACAGACGCTTTTACACACAGACGATTTTACACACAGACGCTTTTACACACAGACGCTTTTACACACAGACCCTTTTACACACAGACGCTTCTACACACAGACACTTTTACACACAGAGGCTTTTACACACAGACAACACTTTCACGCACAGAGGCTTTTACACAGAGGCTTTTCAGACGCATTTGCACACAGACGCTTTTACACACAGACACTTTTACACACAGACGCTTTTACACACAGACGCTTTTACACAGAGACGCTCTTACACACAGACGCTTTACACACAAACACTTTCACACACAGAGGCTTTTACACACAGAAGCCTTTACACAGAGATTCCTTTGCACACAGGCGCTTTTACACACAGAAGCTGTTACACAGAGGCTTTTACACACAAACACTTTGAAACACAGACGCTTTTACTCACAGACGCTTTTACACACAGACGCTTTTACACGCAGATGCTTTTTACACACGCACACACGCCTTCACACACACAAACGCTTTTACACACAGACACTTTTACACACAGACGCTTTTACACACGGACACTTCAAGACAAAGACGCTTTTACACACAGACACTTTTACACACAGACGCTTATACACATAGAGGCTTTTACACACAGACACTTTGACACACAGACGCTTTTACACACAGATGCTTTTACACACAGACACTTTTACACACAGAGGCTTTTACACACAGAGGCTTTTACACACAGACACTTCTTTTACACAGACGAAAGCGTTGCGATTGACACTTTAAAATTGTAATTTTTCCTCAGTTTTTGACGTCCAACGTCCATTTCGTGCGAAAGGGTTGCGAGTGACCAAGTAAAATCGCAGTTTTTCCTCAGTTTTTGACGTCCAACGTCCATTTCGTGCGTAAGGGTTGCGATTGACAACTCAAAGTCGCAATTTTTCCTCAGTTTTTGACGTCCAACGTCCATTTCGTGCGAAAGGGTTGCGCGCGACGGATGACAATCGCAATTTTTCCTCAGTTTTTGACGTCCAACGTCCATTTCGTGCGAAAGGGTTGCGCGCGACGGATGACAATCGCAATTTTTCCCCAGTTTTTTGAGACGTCCAACGTCCATTTCGTGCGAAAGGGTTGCGATGGACACTTCAAAGTCGCAATTTTTCCTCAGTTTTTGACGTCCAACGTCCATTTCGTGCGAAAAGGTTGCCGGGGACGCTTCAAAATCGCAATTTTACCTAGGTTTTGGACGTCCAACGTCCATTTCGTGCGAAAGGGTTGCGTTTCGTGGCGCTCCGGCGGCACCGCCCCCGCCTTAAGAGAGAATAGAAGAAGAGCGAGAGGAGATCTGCGGATGTGAGGGTGTGAAGATCTAGATCTGCAGGTGTGAGAAGATCTAGATCTGCAGATGTGAAGGTGTGAAGATCTAGATCTGCAGGTGTGAAGATCTAGATCTGCAGATGTGAAGGTGTGAAGATCTAGATCTGCAGGTGTGAAGGTGTGAAGATCTAGATCTGCAGGTGTGAAGGTGTGAGATCTAGATCAGCAGGTGTGAAGGTGTGAAGATCTAGATCAGCAGATGTGAAGGTTTGAAGATGATCTGCAGGTGTGAGGGTGTATATGATGTAGATCTGCAGATGTGAAGGTGTGAAGATGTAGATCTGCAGATGTGAAGGTGTGAAGATCTAGATCTGCAGAGGGTGTGAAGATCTAGATCTGCAGATGTGAGGGTGTGAAGATCTAGATCTGCAGGTGTGAAGGTGTGAAGATCTAGATCAGCAGATGTAAAGGTGTGAAGATGTAGATCAGCAGATGTGAGGGTGTGAAGATGTAGATCAGCAGATGTGAAGGTGTGAAGATGTAGTATAACGGCGGCTTTTTTACGAAGAACCCTTCGCAGGCGCTCTCGGGAAAAATGCGGTACAACACTAAACCAGTTTGAAACTGTTGACTATATGTGATTGAGTGTGGAGGAATTGTCGGTGAATGCATTTAGAATATGATCACAACTACATATCCACGGAGTCCAGCAAGCAGAGTAAGGATCCAAACAGTTTCCAATTCAGTTGGTACTGGAACACGGGGATGTACACCACCAAAACCGTTTGTAATTGTTAAATTTTCGACTGCAAAAGCAATTCCGGTACACTACCAAATGGTCTACAGGTATTGCGCGTGGTACTGCTAAACATATGCTAAACATGAATGGTGCCACAGTAACAAGTTTGCAGTTCTTGTTTGAGCGTTGGTAGGACCGTGGGAAGTACGGGCAGCGAAAGCACTCACAATATGGGCACCTCTACACAGTCACATACTCCATAACGCCAGGCAAAAATCCGAAAAATCTACAGGTTCACTTGCTACTGCAACACAAACACGGTCCGATACCAAAATAATGTGCTGTGGTATCCGCAACAGCTGCAACATTTTTTTTTGGCACATTTTTGTGAAGCGTGCTGCGAAGCCAAACGCTGGAACGCTGCACCGAAGCCCTGCAAACCTTTTCCGGAACCCTGTTGAACTTGACCTGGTTCTGCACCAAAGTTTCCCTGCTCGGAACTTTCTCCGGAACCTTCTCGAATCTGGCTTGGCTCTGCACCAAAGCCTCCCAAACCTTCCCCGGAACCTTCTCCGGAACCCTGTTGCACCTGACCGGCTGTGCACCAAAGCTTCCCAGACCTTTTCCGGAACCTTCTTCGGAACCCTGTTAAACTTCACCTGGCACTGCACCAAAGCCTCCCGGAACCTTCGCCGGAACCTTCACCGGAACATTCTCCGAAACCCTGTTGAACTTGACCTGGCTCTGCACCAAAGCCTGCACGACCTTCTCCGGAACCTTCTCCGGAACTGTTGAGCCCGACTTGGCTTTGCACCAAGGCTTCTTGGAACCTTCTCCGGAACCTTTTCCGGAACCTTGTTGAACCTGACCTGGCTTTGCACCAAAGCCTCCCATGACTTCTTTGGAACCTTCCCCGGAACCGTGTTGAACTTGTTCTAGCTCTGCACCAAAGCTTTCCAGGGACCTTCTCTGGCACCTTCGGCACGTTCTTTGGAACGTCGTTGAACCTGACACGGTCGCTGCACCAGTGCACACCGGAGCTTTTCTGGGATGAAAAAATCATTCTACGCAGTTGGGGGAAAAATGTAATTGTTGAATTCATGATTGCAAAACATTCCAGTACAGAACCAAAAAGGTTTGCAATTCTTGTATTGTTTCCTTGTAAAATCGTGCAGGTCTGAGCAGTGGATGCGCCGAGAACATGGTCACAGTTTCCATAAGGACATATTTAACCAGCAACGGACAGCACCAAACAGTTTGTGTTTATTATTTAGTATTTACCATGGAGGGCAGACATGTGTAAATCATACCAGACATACCAGTACGGATGCTGGGAAAATTCCAAACCATGAGCAATTTTTTTTTCATATCGTATGCGTCCCGTTCCATCCAGATATTTCAAGCTGATTGAGGATTATTTGAATTGAATTAATTTTTGAGTTTTAAGTATTCGACATGAAAAAATAATAACAGTATTCTAACTGATTGCCCGCTATACTAGAGGGCGCAAATTTTTGCGGTTGTGGATTCGTGGGCCATAAGCAAGCAAATACGAAGGACCCTTGGGGAACCAAATTATGGGCAAATCTGATAAATAACAATGTCGCCACGTTGCTCTCCTACAACTTTGTCGCGCTGGGTCGAATTACAGCTGTTTCACGATGCAGAAAATATGTTTTCATGCATGCTCCGCTGGAGAAGTCGGGGTGTTGTTTCGTAGTCCCACTTGCATTACTTGGATTTATTTGGAACAAATGAAATGTGCTTTGAAAAGTGTGCTCGCATGGGTTAGGCCGCAAACCGTTTGGACATTTTTGAATGCGTTAATCCTATGGAAATGCCGAAAAGACAGGGTCATTCTCAGAGAAATATGTGGCCGTAGTGTTGCCATGAAATGCGGGTCGGCAACTCAGTGCGGGTTAGTTCCGTGTTTGGACTGGAACCGGGCAATCAGTGTTTGATGGTTTGACGCAGTGAAACGTGTTGATGTTTGAAATTTTCACTGGTTTTACCTTATACAATTTAAAATATATGATTAAATTATATGCTCTTGGAAATTTGGTACATTTGGTCAGGGCCATGTTTTTGTTCCAGTCAACTTCACGGACAAACCAAATTTGAATTACCTTAGGTTTGCAACAACAATTAGTGACATCCTTGTGTCAGGTGGCTACGAGTTCACTCGCGTGAGCCTTGAAAACATCCAGCCGTGCAAGTGCAAGTCCACCGTTGTGGTTTGTGTAAGGATTCAGCCTGCCATGTCCAGGAAGTTTGCACATGTGCGCAACATGACATGGTGGCCCGGCCAGTTGCCATCAATCAACACTCAGCAGTGAAACCGTGCAACATCAAGGACAAAACAACATAAAAAACATGGATGACAGATGACGGAATGCCGAAACGAAAAAATGCAAACAATGGGCAATGGTTTTTAACCTCTTTATCACCAGCATTATTTGCACGACAATCCCTGTCGACCTTCATCTTCTGCAGTTTGGAAGTTCCACTTGGAAGCAAAAACAAGGCATGCAACTGGCTTGGCAGAGTTGGAATGAACCAGCGAAACAAACATTTTTGGCATTTGAACCGCGCTGGCATCATCATGGCGGCCGATGAATTTGATGAAGTGGGTGGACACCAGGCGTGCGCATCAGGTTTTGTCCATGGGATTGACCCTGCATTGTTGCCTCAATTTGGGATTTCGGGAGCAAAGGTATCTTCAAATTTTGTGACATGTTTTGAAACTCAAATCTGAAAATCATTCAAAACGCAATTTGGTCTATTTTGTCCATGCCGTACAACCGTACAATTGTTTTGCAGGCAGCGTACGGGAAGGATGACGTCACTGACATGAACAACGTGCAGGTTGAGTTGGACAGGGATCTCCTTTCCCATGGCGTGGCGGTTTGAATTTGCATCCCTGTTCGTGCATCACGTTTCCACACATAGATGGAGGGTTCTGAAAGTTGAAAACGCCGACCCGATCACGTGGGGTGAGGCATTTGTTTTAGGGGTCCGTTTCACGCTCGTTGTGAGCTTGGAAGGTTGCCTGCGACTCCGATGAGCAACTCGGTGAATGAAATCCGGGAATGACTTGACTTGAGTGTGAATTTGGATGAATCGGAATTTCCTTAAATCACGAAAAAAATGTTGATATCATCGCGCCGATTTTTGACAGCCACAGCTGCTACTCCATTCCTCTTGAGGCGCTCCTTGTCCAGCCGTTTCTATCGGGCCTTCCGTCACTACAGCCGGTTACTGCGCGACAGCGACGCCAGCGAAATCGCGCCGCCGGAGCAGAAGGAATTGGAAGAACTGAAACTCGGAAATGAGACAACTGGGGACAGGTTTGTGAGTCAAACGGTGCTGGTGATGTTTCTGGCGCCCCTTTTTTGTTTAAAAAAATGGGGGATATTTGTCATTGCTTTGGGAGGGTCACAGAAAAGTGAAATTAAAACTTAAAATAACATGTTGTTAATTTTATACAGTCAAGTATATAATGGTTGGCGGGGTTTCCTTTCATGGGAAATCATCACCATTTTAGGTTGACACCGCATGAATCGCTATGACACGTGATTGGGAGATCGGCTATGCTTTCTTAGAGGGACCGTTCAGCCACCAATCTGACAAGTAGGACATTACCAATTGAAACTTATTGTATCAGGGGTCATCAGAGTGTGTTCTAAACCTCACTTTCAGTGACCTGTGAAAGGCACTTGCTCAAGTAATTTGGGAGGCCGAACGTGCCCGATGACTGGTGATCTCATTTTGTACATTTCACTGCTTCGCCAGCACCTTGCAGCCAAAATGCATATCTCAATCCTGGACTTGTCATGCCAATTGTTTCTGACTGCTGACGGTTGATATTTTTTATTGTTGATTGCACTCCATACACTCATATATCAACATGGGCATGTTCATTTCCAAAGGTCTGACGACCGCTGTTTACCTCTCAAAGTGGGAGGGTGCACATGAACCAATAGAGAGCTACGCGAGACAAAGGACTTCGTGCGCCTTGGTGAGACATTTAGGAGACCTAGTTCGCTCCGACCTTGGTTTGGGATTGAGTACCAAATCTACATTGGTAGCGGAGCCAGTTCTTTGGAAACTGGGCCCGCGAAAGCTGCGCTACATCCACTCCAACTTCTCCATTTTTGAATTTCACTTCCAACTCCTCCACTTTATTTTCATTTACACCTCAACTTGCAGACCGAGCTCTACTGGTCGATCAAGGTAACCAAAGGTTCCACGATCACTGAGTTAGAGGCAACTGATGTCTTCGAAGCAACATTCGGGCCCTATGGCAAAGCCCGGATCTCCAGCTGCGATGTCTCAAGCTGCAGGTTCCACAGCCTTGGACGGTGGGATCACCAAAGATTCCTTCATTCCACTGTTTGATGGGCAACCACAGTCATATCAAGAATGGCGGAAAAGAATCAATATTTACCATTTGAAAATGAAGTTTCAGAAGAGAACTGCCGAAAGCATTTTGAACATCATAGGGTCACTGCAGGGAACAGCATGGCGTTTGGTTGAAAACTATGATTTGACCAAGATCGATGGTGACACAGCTTTTGATGATTTGATGAAAACCCTGGACAAAGCATTTCAGTACGATGCCCGTGTCCGTTTGCCACAGGATTTTGATGGATACTTTTCGCATTTGTCTCGAAAGCCAGGTGAGACGCTTCTCAGCTTCATCACCAACCACGATGAAAAATTGCGGAAGGTTGAAGAACACGGCATCAAAATACCTGATGAAGTGCAGGGATGGCTGCTCTTGAAGAAGGCCAACGTGACACGTGAGCAGCGTCAAATGATAGTGACGCAAGCTCCCAAACTGGAAAAGCTGCGTGTCCAGGAAAGCCTTTTTCTTATCCTTGGACAAGACCACAAAGCTGCTGTCAATCCACTTGACCGACGCCCTGGTTCTGGACGGCTGTTTCGCCGTGGTGCCTATGCTGCTGAGGATGATGAGTACGATGAGGGTGACTATGATGAAGGCTATGACGCCTACTATGAGTACGATGACATGGACGATGGAGTCACCTATGATGAAAGCTGGGCTGAAGAGTCGCAGTTTGATGCCGATGCGGCGTACTATGAGGCTTCTGATGCTGGCCCCAGTGAGGAGGCCAACTATGACGTTGAGGCCTACGATGAGGCGTTTGCCGCCTATCTTGATGCAAGGCGGAGGTTTCAAGACTTGAAACTTTCCAGAGGTTTTTACCCAGTTGTTGCCCTGGCTGACCAGTCTCCAACTCATGCTGGTCCGCAACTTCCAATTGGCCGTGGAAAGGGTTCTGGTGGTGGAAAGCCAAAAGGCAAAGGACGTGGCAAAGGCAAGAACATGGTGAAATACCCACGTTTTCCTGGGAAAGCTGCTGATCCTCGTGGCCGTGCAGCCGCCTCTATGCAATGCTTGCGTTGTGGAGCCCCAGGACACCAAGCTGCCAATTGCCCCAAGCAGAAGCACCCTGCTCCTGCATCGAATCCACCAAGCCCCAAGAAGCAACACACGACTGAAGGCATGGCTGTGACCACTCTTCCTGAAGAACGTGGACTTGTGATTTTTGAAGATGAAGCTGGCCGTCAGCGTGTCGATTGCACGATGTTGGATCCTGGTGCATCAGCCTTCCTGATGGGTTCTGGACCTTTTCACAGATATGTCCAACATCTACAAGACTTGGGCTACCCGGTGGACTCCCTCAAGATGCAGAGGTGCTCAAGAACCTTTCACTTTGGCGGTGATCACTCTACCACCAGCCATTGGATCGCTACGATTCCCATCTTTGTCAACAGTGTGATGGGTTTCGCACAAGCGTTCATCATCAAAGGTGAGACGCCGATGTTGATGGGCAGGCCAATCATCGAAGAGCTTGGCATTGTGGTCAACTTCAAGTGCCGTACCATGATGTTTGAAGGGCGACCATGGAGACCAATTACCATGGGCATGCACGGTGAGTACCTCTTGTCGCTCACTGAGGACTTTGACCACGAGCTCATTGGCCAGCCACCTTGCTTTGAACTGAACCTTGTGGATGCTCAGAAAACTGATGATGCTCCTGCGGAGGTCTTGGATTTTTCGACCTACCGACAGGAAGAAAATGTTTTCCAGTCTTCTGAGGAGCCTGGACTTGCACCAACTGTTGGCGATAGAAAAATTGTCTCAAAGCTTTGGCGGAGTTTTGAAGTTGCGTTGGCCACCTCTGAGAATGACTTGCACAAACATGTTTCCCAGGAGCTCCAAAACCTCAAGCCCAGACCTCGTTTGATTTGGGAGGTCTATGCAGGTGCCTCTCGACTTGCCGAAGTAGCTGACTCTCTTGGATGTCAGGTTGAGTCTTTTGGTTACGAAACTGGATGGGATTTTGACTTGGAATCTCATAGGTCTCAGTTTCTGGCCAAGCTCGATGAAGAGATGCCCGATGAAGTTTGGCTTGCACCGCGATGTGGCTTGTGGAGCAAGATGATGAACATCAATGCGACCACCCCTGAGAAACAGTTTGAGCTGCAGCGTCAACGACAGATTCACCATGATACTCACCTTCATTTCTGCCGCACGATTTTTGTGCGTCAAGTGCGTCATGGCCGTCATGCACACCTAGAACAACCACAAGGTGCTTGCAGTTGGCACACCCGTGCGCTTTCCAGCTTGCCAGGACAACGCGTCACTTTTGACCAGTGCCGCTATGGAGTTCGATGCAAAGACCAAGATCACACCTGGCAGTTGGTACGAAAAACCACTAGTTTGCAAACAACCAAGCGTGCGGTGATGCAGGCCATGAACCTTCGATGTGACCGCACACATCGGCACTGTCAACTTGAAGGTCAAGTTCCCGGTTTTGGGATTTCCAGAACAAGCTTCCTTGAGGATTACCAACCTTGCCTTGCTGCAACCATGGCTGCTGCACTTGCCGTCCCAGAGAGCGCTGTCTTTTGGGAAGATGCCCTGGCCGTGAATGAAGACAAGCTCATACATGGCAAGACGATCCAGCTCCTCACAGAGAACAAGGCTGAAGCTGTGCGTGCAGTACAGGGTTTGCATAGAAACCTTGGACACCCAACTACGACAGCCCTTGTAGAGATGCTGGAGGCCAGAGGCGCTTCATCAGCAGTTTTGGAAGTTGCACGCACTTTTCAGTGCCATGCTTGCCTCAAATATAGGAAGCCCAATCAAGTTGCACCAGCCTCCACCAAAGTGATTTCTCGCTTCAACCAAAGCATCCAGGCCGATGTCATGTGGATCAAGAGCGCCCAGAACAAGTTCCCAATTTTGTCCATTGTGGATGAGGGCACACGTTTTCAGGTTGCAGTCTTGATCAACACCGAGAAGGCCGATGAATACATCACAGCCCTGGAGCGCCACTGGATTGCACCTTTTGGTATTCCCCAACGGCTCATCACCGATGAGGGCCGGGGTTGGTTGAACGATTCTTTTGGTGAATGGACAGATGCTCAGTCCATCCAACACTTGGTGGCTGCTGGAGAAGCTCATGAGCAACTTGCACTGGTGGAAAGACGGCATGCAGTTTTGCGCAAAGCCGTTGAAGTTTTTCTGATGGATTTTGGACTTGAAGGTGGAAACGCCATTCGTCAAGCTTTGGCATATGTTGTCCCACAGATCAACAACACTCCTTCGACCTCTGGCTACTCACCAGCCCAGTGGGTGTTGGGACAATCCCCCAATTTTCCTGGAGAACTTCTTGGAACCAACTTGACACCAGTGCACTTGGACGTACCGTTTGAGGATGAGCTCTCCAAGCGGGCTGTTGCAAAGATGGCCATTGTTCAGGCCGAAATGGACCAGAAGCTGCGTCGTGCCTTGCTCAGAAAATATGCGGGCACCAACACTGTCCTCCATCCTGGACAACCATGCTTCTTTTGGAGAGATGCTCAAGCTCCTGATCTCATCAAAATACGATGGAAAGGACCTGCCACTGTGATCATGCGGGAAGACAACCCTGATGGAAAACCAGCCATCTATTGGCTGGGCTACAAGTCACAGCTTCTTCGCTGTGCACCACACCATGTCAGGCCTGAGATCGGAAGAAGCTCTTCAACGCTTTTGGGCGATTTGAAGGTTGCCAAGGATGTGGTCCAAAAGCTTCGGTCAAGAGGGGTTACACGTTTTGCCGACCTGACCATCAAGAATCGCAACAACATTGATGATGTTGGTTCTGGCGACGAGGTCATGGACGAGCTCGACTCAGAAGTTGAAGAGCCGCCTACTCGCCGCAGAAGATTGGTGGACCCTCAGTTCGAACCTCCTGCACAACCTGCCCAATCTCCTGGCTCATATGAACCATCTTTGGCACGTACGGAAGATCTGGCCCAAGCTGAAGCCATCCTTGATGATCCGCAACTGGAGTCCCCTGGACTTATGGACTCGGTTCCAACTGGACTTTCGGAACCTGCTTCAGCACCACATGCCAACGCTGGGTCACCTGGACTTGTGACTCCAGCAGCTCCTGGACTTGGACTTTTGGAGCCTGGCCTTTCCGACGCTGCCATTCCTGATTCTCCGATGTCCCCGACATCACCTGCGGAGACGCCTTCTGTCATTCGTGACATCCGAGATGATTCCATCTTGGGCACTGAGCCATCCAGAGAACCTAGCCCGAAGCATGAGGTTGTGCCACCAACTGACACTTCGACTACGACGACACCACCAGCTCCACTACATGGTTTGGATTCCATCACTGCTTCCTTCTACCAGCCAGCCACTCATGAAGATTTCCGAGCACATAGAAGGCGAGTGGCTCAACAAGAAACCATGTCACTGCGATCTCATGGATTTGGTCCAATTCGAAATCGACAAGAACCAGCTGAACGACCTCAAGCAGATCCCCCACGGGAGCATGGTCCTGGCCCCTACTCTGAAGATGCTGGCTTTGGATTTTCAGCCATTGACATCCAGGACATGGACTCCACTCAGCTGCCTCCTGGTTGGAAGTTTGATGATGGCTATGTGGTCATGAATGACACTAACAAGGACCACTGGGAGCTCAAGTCTGGTTGCCTGATCAGACACCATGTGGTGCCAAGAAGGACACGTTTTGATCCTTCCAAACTTTCTGCTCGAGAGCAAGCTCACATGCCAATCCCTTTTAGTCATTTAGATGATGTTCGAGTTACAGTTTGCCGTGGTCAAGATGGTGTCAAGCACTTTTGTGATACCTCCAAAGATGTTGCTGAAGTTTCTGGCAAACCATGGATTGGCTGCACTGTTTTTCAGATCAATGGCGAGTCGCGCCGTGAGCTTGGGATGCATGCCTACGCTGTTAGCACTGCAAAACAAGTGGGCAAACAACAGAAAGTTCACACCAAGCGGAAGTTCAAGAAAGATCAAAACAAAAATGACTTGTCAGAAAGAAACATGAGCCTAGAAGACAAGCTGCTTTTTCAGAAAGCGAAAATGGATGAGCTGCGATCGTTTTTCAACAATGGAGTTTGGTCATTCCAGACCACTCGTGAAGCTGATCCGCAGCGTACCCTGAGCAGTCGCATCCTTTTGAAGTGGTCTCGAAACCCAGATGGAAGCCCCAGAGCAAAAGCCAGGCTTGTAGTGCGTGGCTACACAGATGCCGATGCACTTGCTGGACAGCTTGACACGGCCTCGCCAGCATCCACCAGGCTTGGTCGAGGATGTCTTTTGAGCATTTCAGCATGCCTGTCTTGGTGCGGCTGGAGCGCTGATGTTGCTACAGCGTTTTTGCAAGATCTTCCTCAAGAACGACTTCTTTGGGTTAAACTTCCCCCTGATGCTGTTCGCTTGCTGGGTGGTGATGAAAACACCAGGATGCTCCTACATAAGCCATGTTATGGTCAGCTTGATGCCCCAAAGAGATGGCACATGGAAGCAGCACGTCGCTTGAAAGACTTGGGATGGGTGCCTCATCCTATGGATCCATGCTTGTGGTTGTTGTATGAACCAGCACAAGGTGATGCAGTACCAGCTCTGTGCGGCCTCCTTGCTCTCCATGTTGATGACATGCTTGGTGCTGGTGACCCAACATCACCAACATACATGGCTGCTGAAGCTGCCCTGAAACAAGCTTTCAATTTTCGCACCTGGCAAAAGGATGAACCTTTTGACTACTGTGGCGCCAAGATGACCCGTGATGAGGATGGAACTTGGCACATCAGCCATAAAGAGTACCTCAACAAAGTTTCTCCACTTCCAATTGGAAAAGATCGGCAACCTCACCAGCCGATGAGCGAGAAGGAGCATACCATGCTTCGTCAGCTGCTTGGAAGCCTGCAGTGGCCTGCTGTGCAGACGTCACCACATCTGCAAGCTTCAACTTCACTTTTGAGTGGTGAAATGAGCACTGGTCTTTCCAGTCCTTTGATTGAGATGAATAAGCTCTTGCGTTTTGCCAAAAGCAACTCCGATGTGCACTTGCGTTTTCCTCCACTTGGTCGTTTGGAAGATTTACGTTTGACATGCATGTTTGATGCGGCGCTGGGAGTGCGACATGACCAAGCTAGTCAGGGAGGGTTTGTGATTCTCCTTACCAACAAGAGTGCTTTTGAAGGTGTTGAAACACCATATCATGTGCTTGAGTGGCGCAGTTTCAAGCTGCCACGGATTGCGAGGTCAAGTTTGTCTGCAGAAGCACAGTCAGCAGCAACTGCAGTCGACAGCACTGAATTTGTGGTTCGTTTTTGGCATATGATTTTCAACCCCCAAGACTCTTTGAAGGACACCTTGCAGGTGAAGAATCCAACACTTTCTCCAACTTTTATCACTGATGCAAAAGCTTTGTATGACAGCTACCACCGAGATGCTATCAACCATGGTGCTACCGACAAACGCACCAACTTGGAACTCCGAGTAGTCCGTGAACAAGTTGAAGGAATGAATGGGGTTCTCAAATGGATCTCCTCAGAACGCCAATTTGGCGATGGGTTGACGAAGATTTCTGCCCGTCAGCTTCTTTGTGACCGTTTGAGGCATGGAGCCATAAAGTTTACCTTCGACCCAGGATATACTGCTGCAAAGAAGAAAACTGCAAAACAGAGAGAAAAGAGCCAGAATGAGTTTGCAACCACCACCAACAACTCCACTTCCACTCCATTTTCACAAAACCAACCACATGTAGCGACAGCCGATGTGAATGAAACGGATGTGAACGAAATGCATGTTGCTGCCGAGGATGAAAATACTGCTGGTCCCGAAGTCACTTCCAAAGGAATTGATGTGGACGATGTCTATGGCTCCGTAGACGCAATTCATGCCTGCGAAGAGCAAAGACTTCTCCCTGCGGATGAGCACGTTTTTGAATCCAAGCAAGCGACTGAAGAGCCCTTTTTCCCTGTGAATTCCCACCTCTCAAAGCCGAATGATGTGTTTGTGAAAGACATAGCTCCTGCCGAGATCCAAGCTTTTGAGTATAACCAAGTTTCTGAGTATAACATGGCCCATGACTTGAATGCAGCTGTTGTAAATACCAAGATGCCTGTCGAGTCCTATGCCCGGGCGAGCCATGTCGTGCGTTTTTGCTTTTCTGCCGTTTTGATGGCTGCACTGCCTGCGGCGGCGCAAGGCGCCGATTTGCTGCCTATGACACAGCAGCATGTTTGCGATGTTGCAATCGAAACGCCACGATTGCCACTGGATGAACCGGACAGCTGGATGCCAAGCAAGGCGTTGGCGATGCTTCTGTTTTTGCTGCTGAGCGTTTTGGCTCTTGGAATGACAGTTTGGTTTTTGAATAAGGCCAATCGATGCCTCAAGATACAGCTGGATGAAGAACGAGCACGAGCGACACGCTTCTCACAGGACTTGGAACAGTCCAACTATGAGCGAGATGAATACAAAGGGTTTTGGAACTCTACTATGGATGAAAATGCCACACTGCAGCTGGAATTGGATCGAACCAATGGGTTGTTTGAAGAAACCCGTGCTGCCAGTCAGCGCGCCCTGCGAAGTGCCAAGGGTCTTTTAGATCGAGCACTGGACGAGATGGTGGATTTCCGTGAGATGCATGGATTTCATACACCAGGTGGACGTTGCTGGCACGTGATTCCTGACTGCCCTACGTTGGTCAACTCTCCAAGGGTTCATGACCGAGCTGCCTGCAGTGTTTGTTTCAATACCCATGTGACGCCCCTGAAGAGAAACGAAACTTCGGGAACAACGCTGGAAGAAGACTGCAGAGCCTTTTTCCAAAGGCATGGGGGCCGAGTGAACTATTTGCACACCATCGTGCCATGAGAGCCGGGAATCCTTTCTTTTCACCTTTTACCTCTTTTGCCCCGTGTTGATTGCACTCCATACACTCATATATCAACATGGGCATGTTCATTTCCAAAGGTCTGACGACCGCTGTTTACCTCTCAAAGTGGGAGGGTGCACATGAACCAATAGAGAGCTACGCGAGACAAAGGACTTCGTGCGCCTTGGTGAGACATTTAGGAGACCTAGTTCGCTCCGACCTTGGTTTGGGATTGAGTACCAAATCTACATTTATTTTTATCCATTGGACCGGTATCGTGCCTCATGGTCAGCAAACATGATCATGGAAAACCCCTCTGTTTGTGGATGATCTCAATACAAACAAACAATTTGACAAAAAAACGTATTCTGAGTGGCAGTTTTTTCTTATACACATGGCAAAAACTTCTATATTTCAAATTTCAAGCCTAAACATAGTCAGCAAAGGCGAGGTTTCAGGCCACATTTCCGATCATTTCTTGTTCCAAAGGAAACCATGACCATTAAATCAGCGCTCTTGGCAAATCATTAACAGTTGCTGGAATTAGTTCAATGAACATGAATTAGAATCATATCAAATTCATCGAATTCACAATAAACACGGGCAAAAACATCTTCAATCCACGTCAAAAATCCTAAAACAGAACTGACCGGTTGGTCCACGGATGGTTGACCGGCTTCGTTCAGGATTCAGCAGCTCAAGGAGATCGGTGCCCACGTGATGCAGCTACGGCTCTTCTCGCCCAACGAGGAGCTGGTGGACATCAGTGGCCCGGTGAAGAGGATGGGTTTGGATGAAACCAAGCAACTTGGGGAAACAAATATGCTGATATAATATACATAATATACAGTGTAAAAGAAATAACGAGGATAAAATTGGGCAGTACTGGATTTTTTTTCTCCACCAGCAGTCCAACAGTATGATATTTCGGTGACTGGATGGAGAAATTGAACATGAAATTTTTGACAACTGAAAACGTGAGTTCATGCCAAATGTAGTAGCACATTCGCTTTGTTTCGAATGTGCTGTTGTGCAAAATGAACTGGTGACAAACTCGGAAGTTTCATGGCCATGTGTTCCTTTCGCAATCCCCACCCAGGCACAACTGATTTGAAATATCTCATGGTGCCTTACATGCTGGCAGAGGCTGGGGCGCCAAAGCGAAGCGCCAAGGGAGAGTTGGGGTGCTATGTATTCATATCTTAGAAAATGTTTGTGCAGTACAAACAAGTTCCGCATTGCGTACATAATATGTGTATATATATATATAAATATGGACATTATATACATATATAATTATAACAGTAGAAATTCAAAATTGAGAACAATGACCTACATATGTATATAACTGTATACATACATATACACACACATATACACGCACACACACACAATATATATTGCATATGGTGTTGGCAGTGTATCCCTGCGATATCCCAGGCCCAGGGTCCTCCAGATCCGAACCAAAACCGTGCGCAGGTCGTAGCTGCTAGCCGTGACATGGAGAAGCGCTTGGAGAGCCTGCGCCAAGCGCTCGTCTTCTGGCGCGCCTTGGAGGAGTTTCCGAGTTTCCCAATGGGAAACCATGGGAAAGCCACCGGGAATCGATATTCAGGTGATATATTCCACATAAACGAACCATAACCACAATGGGGATATGAGATATTTTTGGGATATGGAACATTTTCAAAAAATGTGATAGTTGGGTGTGTCTGAACATGGGCTATACCTTCTATCTATGGCCATTTGAGAGGGAAAACTATGAGTAACCAATGCTTCATCAAATGTTGGGGTACCCAATTTTGAGACTTAAATTTGTATATTCCACCATAAATGACCATTGAGGTTCCCACTTTACTGCAGATAGTTGGTTTTGTGTTCCAGGTCATGCCTAATATTGAGCCATACTCAGCTCCTGCACTGCTTAAAGGCCTATTTACAGGAAGTTCTTTTAGTTTGTGTTTTGAATGACTTTGAATGTTATTTTCCTCTGTCAAACCTGAAATGTGCTGGTCAACTCCATTGGTTTTTCAAGTTGAACCACCCTATTATATTTCCAGGAATATCAGGAATTACACGCACCTTTTCCATTTAAACCAATCCATTGGCATGTGGATTTCTAAAAGTCTGAAGGACGCTGACTGAACTTCTTGCAGCCAATGAGGTGCCTTTGCGGCAGACTGCCAAAGACTGCGCGTTGGACATCAAGATGACTACGTGGCCATAGACAGAGAGCAGGTCACATGAGCTCGTTGCCCACTTCGTCCAAGTTGTGTGGAATGATACTGGTTGAAATGGGAATAGATAGCAAGTGATTGACATGTTTCAATTGGCATTATGGGAAGCATGAGGTGCTGATCCAGCAGGTCATAGCTTCTTAGAATGGTGCTGAACATCTTCAGGATATTCTTGGATAGGATTGAATGATAGTTTCGGATTTCTTGAAGACAATATTTAAGACACTTTCTTTCATCCGATGTTTCTTACCGTGGGAAGAATTCAGCCATGGCTTCCTCCAGCGCAGGAGCCAACAGATCCCGCATCCAAACGGGAGGAGAAGATTGCGCGATACAAGCGCTGCAAGGAGTTGGATGAGAAAGTGGCCTATCTGTTCCTTGGCATTTCGCTGGCTGCTGCGGTGTTTTTTTTTGGAAAAAAATAAATTGATCTTACCTGGGGTGATGATTCCAAACCCATTCTTGTTTGGGTTGATGGGTTGAAAGTACCAATCAGTTGGTCTCTGCATTGTGGTTGTTGAGATGATACATAGATGGATTTTGCATCATTTTGCAGGACATGAGGATCAGAAAGATGCAAACCTTGGGATTAAAGAAAACAACCTTGGGTATATGGCAGATCATTTGAATAAACGGTTTCTGTGCCACTTTTTTTAAACGTGCGCCCCATGTTCTTTTTTGGCTGTGTTTGTGCAGGTTCAGCAAGAAACGCGAAGATCTGGGAGACGAATATCTCTGGGGGGCAGGGAGCTCCTTCGATGAAGATATGGCCTCCCGGACCGGATCGGGTGGCAGATGCGTCAGTGAAATTCACCTCAAAATTGGATGGGAGAAAGGGAAGAATCAGCAGTTCACCTGTGCGTTTTTCCAAAAAATTTGGTGCTCCTCAATTTCATTGATGATCATCATCTTGCACGTTAAAGTTAAAACTTGTGGGTACCAGACGGTACCTCCACTCATTCCAAGGAAAGAGACTTGATTTTGATGCTGCTGCGGCGTGCTGTGGCCTCGGTAACTCAGCTTCGACTTTGAGGAAGTCACCCAGATTCTGGTGTGGTAAACCCAAAAAACCCAACAAAAAATGTGGTAACCCCAACTTTCACATTTGGTATTGTTTTTAAGGATGTGGTAACCCTGACAAGAAAACATCCCCAATGACTCACCAGAAAAGGGTAGATATCAACCATCAAGCATCGACCCTAAAGGCATCCTTCCCAGTTCCTAGGTGCCCGAGAACATCACCTCAGCGCAACAGGAAATGCCTCTGCTCGAGATGATGATGGCTTCTTGGACGTTCTCTTGAATCTATGGGGATCCAATTTCCCAGGTTCAGGGGACCTAGATCTTAGCCCTGCCATTTTGGAGGGTGCTGGGTAGATCTGGGAATAGGCACGGGCTTTCTGGTCTGGCCTGGTGGGTCAATAACCTATGTTCCAGTTTTTTGGGAACAAAAAGTATATAAAGTTTATATATATAATTATATATATAAATGTGTATATGTATTATATATGTATATGTATTATATATGTATTATATATATACATGATTATATATATATGATTATATATATAGTTACATATATATAATATTATATAACACATATACCACACACACATATATATAGATATGTATACATATACACACATATATGTATACATATACACACATATATGTATACATATACATATATGTATACATACATACATACATACATACATATATATGTATACATATACACACATATATGTATACATATACATATATGTATACATATATATATATGTATATGTATACATGTACTTATATGGACACACATATATATATATATGTATATCTGTATGTATATATATATATGTCTGTTTATCTGTATATACATATGGATATGTACATATGTATCTACATAAAAATATTTGGGCATATACACCATATGTAACTACGCACCTGTATGTGTAGATTGTAAAAATCCTACATACCCAGAGCTATCCCCGAAACTGAACCTCCAGGCACGTGGTGGCCCTGGAGCGGAACCTGTGGAGGTTCGCGAAGTCAGGGAGAAGCCCTACATGGTGCGCATCCAGGACTCAGTGGGATCGGATGCAGCTGGATATTTCCATGGAAAATGGTGAAAAGCGCTATCGACGAAATGGGCCATGGCTTCCATAGCAAGCTGTAGCAAATTAATTACCAGACTAAGCTTGTTTTGTTTCAGCATACTTGGTTGGTGGTAGAGCTTCGTCAGGTGGGAACCTTGGCGATGTTTTTTCTCAGCTGAAACCAGCAAGCCGTTGACAGCATGAGATGATTTGTCCAAGGGGATGTCGCTGATTTCGATGGGAACTTGGTCAGCTTGAGCATCAAACCATACGATTTTATTGCACCCAAACCTGACCATCCTGACCTACCTGACCTATGCGCAGGTTTTTTGGATCTACACCAAGTTGGCGTCATTCCGCCTCTCACATGTTTGCATATAAATATAAATGTATATTTTCCAAATTCTTTTCCGTGATGCCATTTACAACTGGGTTACCACCCCACTAACCAACCAGTTACGATCCGTGGTGTGGTCCTTTCAGTAGATCCCAGGACAGATCGGAACTACAGAGGCTGTACCGAGAGATGGCCCCCTGTCCTGGTCAAGAGTCTTTACACGACGACTCCCAATAAGAGTAGGATGACCTGCGCACATGCCTAATGAATAATAATGAATGAAGAAATCAATAAAGATGTAAATGCATCTGTCTCTCTCCCTCTCTATAGATGCGTACACCTATATAGATGAGTAATGTGGTAAACCCAACAATAAACCATCCCATGGTATAAATGATACCGTGACATAAATGGTCGAATCATGCCAACCTGCGAGGTCTTCAGGTGCCCACATCCCTTGGCCACCATGTCCATCGAAGAAGCTGCGGACCTGGAAATTCAGGAGATGCGTGAGAAGGAGGTGGCATGGAAAGTCCAGTTGGAGGGAGATCCTTCGAACCCTTTGGTGTCATCAAACATGGCTGAAATATTCCCCCAAATAAAGCTCGAGGATTTTCCCATTTAGATGTCTTTCGAAAGGGGATTTCCAATTGCCATGTTTGATTACTGATGGGTGAGGAAGGATTGTTTCCAAAACGTGGATGAAGAGACAATTTGCAGGAACCCGGGTTGATCCACTTTAGTGGATGCCTTCGACTCAGGCAGAACGCATGGTGCGAGAAGCGGAGGAAAGGGCCAAGGATGCCGACCGATGGTCCGGGGCTCGGTTCTTGGGTCAGATTGGGGAGATCCAAGAGCAAACAACGACTTAAAAGATGGGAGATTTAAGCAGCAAAAATACAGGAATGAATGACCAACCACAATTGGGATATGACAGATTTATAAAGATTTATGGGATATGCAACTAACACTGTGATAGCTGGGTGTGTCTGAAAATGGGGGATGCTGACAACATTGCCATGGAGTGAAGTTTTTTTTTGACAGGCCACGGGATTGGGGGTACCCGAGCCGCCAGGTGGGATGGCGACCGCTATGGTGCCAAAGAAGAGTGGGAAGATGAGCAAAGGCTGCTACCGTATCGATGTGGGGAGCACAACACTGGATCTTTACAGCATTTCCATCTATTTACACCTCAACTGCAGCCTCTGACATTTGTTCAGTTGGAATGGGATAATGTGGGTCAGCAGATCCTCAACAATCTCGCCATGGCATTGAAGCTTCAACCATCGATGATCCGCACCGGCAGGCTCTACAAAGATCGAGCCGCTGGATGAAATCAGGTGGAAAAAATGCTAGGCGATGTGCCCAAGCGTTTGTCAGCATCAAAAAGGAACCAAAATATGCGGGTTGGGGTCTTGAACTTGCACAATGTGAGAGAGCGAGAGTTGCAGGGCCCGAAAGTAATTCGACATCATTCGACCATTGTTTCTAGCGGGACCATTGGTCAAACCACTTTGGTAGCCTTTTGCATTTTAACATAACTATCGAAAGTCACCATTATTCATAGGCAAATGACCGAACCAAAAAAGGCCATGTTCCATAGCAAAGTGTAACAAATTGCCAGAGGGTGCAACTGGTGATGTCCCAGTCCCAAGGACTTTGACGAGTTCAAGGACGAGCATCCCTGGGGTTCCGGCAACAAGATGGCGAACATCGGATGAGGGCGACGCCCCCTGGGAGGTGCTGTCAAGCCACGTACAGTGCTGGTGGAAAAAAGGTGCCAAACAGCTTCTGCTGCTTACCAGATGGCTTTGGTATTTATGGTCTAAATTTGGACAGGGAAAGCAGTGACATGGACATAATACTACATAATGCACGAATGAACACCTCCAGAGCTCATATTCTCAATCAAGTCCAATGTGGCATTTGTAGTTGTTACCCTCTGCTTATTTAACATAGCCATGGAACATGGCCCAATTATAGATGGTTTACCTATTAAAAATGGTGATTTTTCCATGGCTATGTTAAATCACCAGATGGTAAGTAATTTGCATCCAAAATCATCCGGCAATGGAACCCCAACCGAGGTTGCCGGCCTTGCCTTCGGTGCATCTTGCGACTTCGAACGCGTGGATGGCAGCACCCTGTCGGCTGAGGCTAGGATTTGACTGAACTTGGAGCTACAAAGGACGTGAGCGCTTCACCAAACCCCGAAATATATACGGCGCCTCGAAAATCCCATAGTTGATTAGTTCATGTTCGAAAAGATCCACTTACTTTTCAATGGGTTTATTCACTTTATTCCCCGCATTGGAGATATTTACCATCCGGTAATATCCAACTGGTAATGGGGAATCCCAATCTTTGGATGAGAAAACATCCATCGAAGTCTGAGGGTAGGAGCTGTTAAAGCATGTGGTGAACCCAGCAAGTTACTGTACCCGATTTTAAAACGGTTTGCAGTAAGCACGCTAGTTATACATGGGTTAACCGTAGGAAGTGGGGACTTGCTGGCCAGGGTCAAGGGCTTTTCCAGGGGTATAAACAATTTAGGAAGGTTCATGAGGGAGAAATTTTGGCCGTCGTTCAGAGGTTGAAACACGTCCCATTCTGTAGGCTTTTGAACGGCTCAGTCTCCGTAAGATGGATACTTAAATTGTTCCAATCGCAGAATGCTTGCAGACACAATCAGATCTGAACTGCATCTCGGTGCCAGGAGTTTCGCAAGCGCTTTCGCACGGGGCCATTGGGTTTTGGGCCCCAGCTGGGTTTCCAGGGTCTTCCAACTTTCACTGAGAATCCGGAAAGGACACTTGGAACCATGTTCGTTTTCTGGGGGTTTTGAATCAAATGATGACAATCAAAGGGTAAACCACAGTGGCAACATGTAGAAACCACAGCACTGGTAAGCTGCCACACCCACCGTTAAAGCATCGAGGTCCAGGGAGGCCAGTGGTGTTGACCGGACTCCGCCTGGAATCTCGAGAACTGGGGTGGCTGTGATTCTCACAGAATTCTCCCAGAAGTTGACCGTTTTTGTATTCTCCTGGTCAACTTTCATGAAGATCACTGTGTATAACTTCAAACTGCCTTGGCGAATTCTCGATTCATGCTGAATGTGCAGCGTGTGTATACATAAAAACAAGGTTCCAATTTCGATGTCAGGAAATTTCCCAAGATTTTACACTGTGCCGCTGCCATTCGACTTTGGCTTTTTCGCGTGACCGTTCGATGACTTGGCTCAAGGAGTTGCATCGATCCATGGGAAGTATAGAAGAATACTATCACTGCTCATCAAATCGCGAGTACTTCCCAATTACTTTACTAATCAATATTTGTGTTGTTGGTGCAATTCACATTACAATTTACGTTCCTGTTGCGGCTTTCACCACAATCAACGATGTTCGAATCGTAAGGGAAAACCAGCGCCAGTTGTAGAACGAGATGTGTATGTTGGTAGGGCAGATGCATAAGCTGACAAGCGTTCATGCAACAGTTAGATGTTTCATGACGTCATCTGATGTTATGTGGGTGAACAGAACAGACTTGTCCATTGGCAGTGTCAAGACGGCTTGCCATGGAAGTTCTTGGCCATGTGCCTCTGAAGGCTGTGCCAACGGGAGAGCGGCTGTTTCGCCAACAACGATGGGGGCTGCAACCAGAAAGATAAGGATATAGGATTAGTGACACTACAGTCTCTACAGTGATAGAATCCAACTGTTTAAGGGTTTCCACACTTCCAAAGATAGTATAGTAATTTTATGTACGCTTCATACTTGGGTTTGCCGCATTTTTGTTGCAGCCACGGCACCAGGTAGCTGAAGGCGATTCCATTCGCATTGCGCAAGTCACCGATGTCCCGCACGAGCAATGGGCAGGGGGTTTGGTGGATTTGTGCTGAGAAAGTTGAGATTGGATCTCTGATTGCTACATGAGGGTGAAGAACACATATTACATTTTGTGTCTTCATGGCCTTCATGGCCTTCAAACTGCAAAGCGCACTTTTTTTTCGGGGTTCAAAATGGAACGAATCCATGCTGCGCCAATGGTGCGCTGCACTTGTAAGAACCAACGTAAATTCTTGAACGGTCACGGCCCATGACAGCAGCTGGTTGCTGGGACCCCCCAGTCCTATAACTTGGGCGTGTTCCCAGTTTGAATGCAGGCCACATGAAAATGCAATCAGTAGCCGGGCCCATCTGCCAGTTCATCCAGTTCAGGTTCCCAAAAGATTCCAACTTTTAGTGGCACCCCGGCACCCCCCGACATTAATGATTCTTGGATTCGGGCCCATCAACAGCATTTTAATTCCATCCCACCAACATTACACACAACCCAAACGAACCCCTAGTGCAGCATGTCAATACATTGACTCTACTCATTTTGGGGGAAGAATGTCTCGGCTGCTTGATTGGTGGAGGGGGCCATTTCAGTAGCAGATGACATCACCATTTGGGGGGGTACCCCCAAATTAACTATGATTCCGAGATTGACCTTATCCAATATCATATCAAGTACATCAGTGTATATCACATATCCACATCATATCATATCCACATTGTATCCCCGGGAGGCAACCATCAATCATCATTTATCAATTCTGATGCCATCCCCCCTGTGAGGTCCATCGATTTCCAAGCACCTGCAGCTTTTGGACCAATGGCTGTGGCCAGCGGGTGGACCTGGAGACCTACAGAGCTGGTGGTGAGATCGAGCTGTTGGAAGCTGTGCTACGATCCTTGTTGCTGTATGGCTTGGCCTTCCATTTGGGGAGATAAAGAAGGGGTTTTAAGCTGCAACAAAAAGAGGTTTTAGGACTAGGTATTGGGGATATTTTTCTCCATCATTGGGATTATTGGGATTTCAACATAAAAAGTTGCAGTTTGCGATCAAACATTGCCATTTCATCAGAAAAAACAGTGATACTACGGAACATGCCCCAACAAACGGCAACATGCGGATGGTTCGAAGTTTGAGACACTGAGAACCTAGTGGAGCCTCTCTCATGAGTCTTCTTGATGTCGCCTCAGACTAGAGGTTCATGATTCCAGTACTCGGGGGTATGATATGTGAACTGAGGAATACACCAAGTTTCGTTAGAACAGGCATGAAAACATGGTCTAGAATTTTGTGACCCCCAAAAAGATAGACAAGAAGAAAGTATCATAATTTTAGTAGGATGATCCTCTTTCAATGTTTTTTTTGGTTGCTATATCAGAGTTTTGGGGGTGTACCTCCCCAATGTGCCCAGGACGCGTCTCCCCACACTTTGTGGTCTTCACAGGGGACATCCTCGACGGCAGGCGCTGAAGTTGAGTGCCTTCCGATGCGAAAAGAGGGGTACCCTTCATTCTAACAAGTCAAATGATGATTATATAATAAATGATTGACATGCCTACTTAAATCTGTACCTCTCATTTTTTCCGACATCATGAGGAACCAGGCATGCAACATCAGAAAATCACTTCGGGGTTTTGAGGAATATCTTTGGACGGCAGGCCCTTCAAGCAGATGGGCGATACCGACTGGAAATCTTCGATGATGGCATTGCTAGAGCCTCTCCACCAAAGAGGGTTTCTTGGATTTTTGACAGCTTCGCGATGACCCCTTCCTCCCCCCAGGAGATGATGTTCGATGGCTTCTTGTGGCCTTGAACAAAGCTCTTTCCCAGATAAATCGTTTGAAAGCGCCAGCCTCCCATGTCCAAGTGAAAACTTCTTGAGTCCATCAGTTTCCGACCCATCCGCCCCCATCCCCCCTAAACGCCTGCGAGGCTTCCCTGGACCTTCGTCCCCGGCAACCACGACGACGACGATGCACCATGGAGTCGCTCAGAGCTGCTGGAGATCTTTCAGCTGCCTGGCTGTGTGGCGAAGGGCGCCAAAAGCTTCGACCACTGCGTGACGCTGGGAGCTGGTGAAGGTGCACCACGGAGACGGGGCGAACATCGTAACCAGGGTGTTTTTCATAGGTCCAAATATGTTGAAACATAGCTAACCCACCAAACAAAAGGATAGAAACAAATGGAAACCCGGAAATTAAATGTGAGGGAAACATCGCCATGTAACATGCTTGAATCTTGAACATCTTTATACTTATCTTCAGGCGAACATCTTCATATTACCCTTTCAGTTTCCTCCAGGAATTGGGCTTGCATGATAGTTGCAGGATGTTGCAGGGCGGGTTGACAACATGTTACAGTAGCACACGGTTCCAGGGATTAATAAAAAGGCACCAAATCACAAAACTGGTTGGTTTCAAGTGATCTTTAATTTGCCAATATTTTTTTCGGGCAGATTGAACCACCACCCAGCGAATCTTGAAAGATCCCCCCCGGCATTCTGTGAACTTGCGCTAGGACCTGATTGCAACTCTATACGTTTGTGGTTCTTTGACGCTTGGCGTTTCCGCATGAAGCGGCTTCATGAGGCTCAGGTAGCTGTAGCAGCTTTTGATGGAAATGGATTCAGATCTGGATCCCTGATGGTCCATGCTCATGGCAGAAATTACAGGAGAGACTTAGTTTCTTTTAATGAAGTGTATGCCAGACGCCTGGTATGGGTTGGAATGTATGGGTTTGTGTCAAATTAAGGGCTCCAAAACCAGCTGTGGCCGTGGAAGCGGTGTTTTTCTCTCGGCCTCCACCCATCCCCTCAGGATTCAGGAGGCAACAATCCAGATCCCCAGATTCGCCACTCGGTGCTCCAACTTGTCAGAGGGCCCCCTTGAAACACGTCCAAAAGTCGTTCCAGACACTGGCCACCAATAATTTTAATTCCGTGATTCAAATTGATTCAAGATATGATATCTGTTTTCTTTTTATTTTCCTCTTGGTTGGTTTTGTGCCATGATCTCTTGTTTATAGCACCCCGATGAAAGATCGAAAAGTCCTGAAGAATGAGGTAACTATCACCTTAAAAACACCTGGAACAACTTTTTGGCACCTTTTTGCGGGCCGAGTGCAAGGGTAGGACACCCCGACCGCCCGAGGCTACGACACCTTTGCGCCCAGCACGGTGGCGAGCTTCCAGCGCTTGTCGCGCGAGCCCACGCCGCCCATGGGCCTGGCGTATTTCCACATTCCGCAGCTGGGCTCATGGTCTGATGGTGAACTCCCGTTTCAAGTGAGCCATGAAAAATACTCCAGTTGATGGTTATTATAAAGGATTATGCTACCTGGGTTAATGGGCATTCTTACTTAATGGGCATTCTTATAACTTATATCATCTTATATCCATAGTAGGGAAACCTATCAACCAACTGTATAGTATACTGAGATGAGATAGGAGTGTTGTTCATGGCTCAAATGAAACATTCTCAATTTGTGCGGCAAAGGCAGAGGGGAGTTTGAGGAACAACAGTGGGGATGTCTACCAAGCTTAGTAGGGATATTCCATGGTTTTTGCGAATGATATAACCAAGCATTAAAACATTAAAACATAAAAACATCGCAAATTATGACCTATTGGGCTTGAATCATCGAAGCATGGGGGTTGTAGCAATGAATAATGGATGTGGGTTTCTCAAATTCATGCCGAGCTCACAGGATCTATCGCACTTTTTCCATGGGAAACATGAGGTTTCAAACCCTTGGATTTTTGGGCGACCTATTTTCAGACAAACCCACATTTGGGTGGCCATGAAATGCTTGGATCCGTGTCAAGTTGGGTGACTTACAACGACTTCATTTAGCTGACCAAGCCTCAACTAAACGATGCTTCAAAACTATAGGGAAGCCCAAATTCGGTGTGGCTTGGGGCTTGGGGCTTGGGGATTGGGAATGATAGTTCAGGTCTGACGATAACAAGGGCTCCAGTTTTTCAGCATGTTAGTGGAAGGTTTTGGCTGCCGAACCCCTGAGATTTTGACCCAGATTCTCCCAGCTTCCGCAGAGGGAATTCTCGGGATTTGTAAGAAATCCTCTGAGGTTGCCAGAATATGGAGATTTGACCCCTGTGCATGGCACCCAGGGTCTCTTCGAAGCGGCTTTGCAGGTGCTTGGGTCGTCGGCCTGGCAAACAGGGATGATTAAACCAATGAACCGTTTCTGTAGTATTTAAGCATGCCTAAACTACCAAGCTTGGGTTTCTTGGGTTTTCTTATCATTTACAAATTTCACCCACGCACACACATTTATATCATATATGCATCTATGTATAGAGCGCATAAAATATATTAAAATATATTTATACACACTTGTTGTGCCTATACATGCATTTTTTTTGCGATATTTGTACATATCCATCTATCTGTCTGTCTGTCTGTCTGTCTATATCTATATATATCTATATCTTTATCTATATCTATATATACACATATATACACATCCATCTATCTATCTATATCTATATATATATGTATATCAACATCTATATATCCACTGTATATATCCACATGCATATATATATATATATATACATATATATATATATATGTACACGTATGTATTACACGCGTAATACACGATAAATTCTCATTTTTCCGGTGATATCTCCCGGTGAGGCTGGCATGGTGCCTCGGCCCTGGTGCTGGATGCCCAGCCTGGTGCGGTTGCTGGGCAAGGACCGCGTGGTGGGCAGCTCCAAGCTGAACAGCGGCCACCCGCACGCAGCGTAGGTTTCCACCTTGGAAACCATCAAAACATAGGGATCCAACCCCTTTACCCTCTGGAAAACATACAAAAAACTATGGAAAATCACTATTTTTAATGGGGAAATCCACTATAAATGGCCATTTTCAATAGCTATGTTAAATTACCAGAGGGTAATTCATTGGAACGTGGGGATTTCAAACAACCAGAATTTGGGGATAGTGAAATTGGAATTTGGGGTTCACTCAATGCCATAAACAAGTACCATTTGGGAATTCCTTTTTCTCATGGTAATATTCGGGATGGGCTTGTTGTTGGGTTTAATACACTTTGCTTTCAGCCTAGGAAACCGATTTCTGGGTGATGCGGCAAACTCATACACTGTACACCATCGCCATTTTTTTCTACCCAGAAATGGATTATATAAATAAACCATCCCCGATTCCACGTTTATGGATTCGGCATATGCCACATTACCCAAACCATCCCAGAACCTGTTCCTTTGTGAAGATCCAATCATGGCCGACAAATGGATGTTTAGTTGTTTAGGCCCCAAAAAAGAGCCTGCAACTATTGACCCATCCCGCCCTTAGACATCCAGACATCCCTAGATCCTCGTGGCTTAAGATTCTCTGTTGGTGCCATGCAATCCCCCTCCAGAGGTGTTTTTCGGTGTCAAGCCTGGATTGACAAAGCCTGGATCAAAAACCAGGGGTTGCCCCGGTTACCCCCAAATAGTGATGTTATTTGCGAGGAAAATCAATGAACATAGTTGACATAGTACACCCCAATGATCAGCCCAAGGTCTCTTCGACGCTTTCGTGGAGTCGCAAACTGTCAGGGCCACCTTTTGTGGCCACGACCACTCCAGTGATGTGCTGGCCTCAGGGGGATCGTCATTGCATTCTTTGGCTCACAGGAACAATATACATGCACACATGCAAAGAAGAGAGATAGGTATCCTCTTGTAAATTTGTTGGACTTTGTGTCATTCCATTCCATCTCAGCCAGCTTTGTCCGCACCAAAATTGCACATGCTGAGGCCATCTTCTTGCGCGATGGGCTGTTCCTTTGCTACGGCCGTGTCCCGCGCTGAACGATGGGAATCCATGGGAATGGGCGGATTTTGTAGGAAACTCCATGGTTTTAAGGAGAAGATGTAGGGTTAAACCTGTTGAAAAAGAAAACACCGAAAGCAAACCATTGACTTGAGTGGTCAGTGTTCATCCTTTTTTCCTAGCGCCAAATTGCAAATTGCAACACTAAAGCTGATATTACACACACGCACACCTATGTATATATATATACATAACACCGCTGAATGACACGAGGAAATGGTGTTTGTTAAACCACTACCTGCAATTGAGGTCAATCAATTTGGAGGATTGACAAACAAGGGCCGCTGGTTCCTTGCAATGATTGGCCCCTTCTATTTTGCATCAGATTGATATCGATGGGGTTATGTCTACCCACAACTTCTTTTGCTGGAACTTCCCAGGGGGTTTGGCAAGTTTTAGCCACACTTTTCGGTACTACGGGCGCATCTCTCTACTATGAGTCATTTGCAACCTACCTGTCATTTGCAATCTACCTTGGCCATGGACAATTCTCCACTTAAAGATTAGGATGCACGCTCCTTTTTTGTGGCAGGTTCGATCACCAGATGCTTCTTGGGGGTGCAGTTGTTGGGCTGCAAATGGTTATAACCATGCTAAAAAACTATAAACACGCACCTTGGGATATTGTAACGATAATATCTGTGACTAACTGGGAGTAGTATAAGTATGGTCTAGCCTAGTCTAGTATAGTATAGTTGTAACTATAACTATAGCATATTATAGTATAGTACAAGTCCCACATTCGCAGGGCTTCCCCCCGTGTTTTTTTCCGAGGTCAGTGGCACTACGCCTCCCAGCGATTGGGAAGGCAGCGCGCCGCTGCCCTTTGAGCCGGGCATTCGCATAGTTGGGTCCCCAGCCTTGGGTATGACTTTTCTGGCTTTTCGGGGTTCATATGTGTATATATATATAATATTTACATCACGTGAATATGTGTATTATGCATGATGCTTATGTTGTCATTTGCTCACTGTGGTCATTTGCTGAGGTCGAGTATGCTTCTTGTGGCGATGGACCACGTCTCACCACCTGGATCGAGACCCAAAGTGGTGAAGATTCGGGAAGCCGCTTCGTGCTGGACGTAGAAACAGGGCCTGGGATCTCCACTGGCATATCCATTTGCCGAACCCACTGGAGAGCCAATTGGAGCTATTAAGTTACTATCTTTCCGAGTTGCCTGATTGGATTGTTGGAGTTGGATATGGCCTCCATCATTTGAGGAAGTGCGCTCAGCATTTTTTTGAAATATTTGGAATTTGGGCTTGGGAAGAAAGACACACACACACAGGTTTACCAATCTGGTTGGGCTTTTGGGGTTTGTCTAAGAAGGGCTGCGAAGATATAGTGCATTCAAAGCCATTCTGGCTGCCAAGAGCTTGGTTTGGAAGTCACTTTCTCTCTGGAATCTGGAGATGGTGTTTTTGTTCTTAATAAATCATCATGTCATTATTAATTAAGATTAATGTAGATTAATTGTCAATTAACCATTCATCTCAGGAATCACTTAATATTACCATCTGGTTATTTAACATAGCCATGGGAAATGATCCAAAGAATAGATGGTTTACCTATTAAAAATGGATAAAATGGTGGATCTTTCCATGACTATGTTAGTCATAACCAGAGGGTACCAACTACAGCGATGCGCGACATGTCAGCCCCGCGCAGCTTCGGCTCAGCGGGATCGGGTTTGGTTCGAGTCGTTTTTCCGTCGACTGGTAGGGCACCCGAGCGCGAAGAAGAGGCCGCTGCGAGCCCCCTGTTGTGGTTGCTGATCTACTGGAGATGGCAGTTGGACATTGTAAAACTGGTTGGGTCATGTTGGGTCACTAAGCCACTAAGATCCACTAAGCCACTAAGCGAACCACGAACTGAACCAGGGGTAGCTGGGTAGCCCAAGTTTTTTAAGATGAAGATCCATTGAGGTCAGCCGACAGCCAGGTCATGGCGGCAGCAGGGATGTGTGCCTCGTCTACGCAGCTGGCAAGGGGAAGCTGGGAAAGAACAATTGGAACTTCAGTCTGCAAAAAGATTAGCTAGTTATCGAAGATTTCTTGAAGGATATGGAATGGGCTACCCTTTGGGCAGAAAACAGCTCAGATTCAGAACATGTTTGCACGCAGTTGGCCACTGGGTTTTCTCATGACGGACCACGACGAGGAACTCGATTTTCAGGAGACCAAGACACACCAAATGTCTGCCCTTCAAATGGGCAGATTTCATCGGCAATTTCTGGAAATGATCGACATGCTGGAGAATGATTGATACTGTGTAGGGTAGGTCAAACCTCATTGATGTGGCTACAGCTCAACCATCCAATATGCTCGACACAGGGATGGGCTCCAGGAAATGACTCACCCGGTGCAACATGGCAATGGAGCATTCCCGATTCAGATCTCCCGGTTTGATTCCTATCACAAAATCGTCTGGAGTCTGGTTGGTGGTTTCATGCATGTGATTTTCCATCCCTAGAAACGGAATGATGATTTCAATGGACTCCTCATATATCTGGGATGGGTCGATAAACCACCAAGCAAAAAATTAGTTGATCACAGCATTGACTGAAGGATGTCGAAGGTAAATCTTACCTTCATCATACCCTCCGGCAACCTTACCCTTACCTGACCATGTACACTCCCATATTTGTATCCATATCTTTCTTCCGTTTGATTTTTCTGAGATATTGTTAAATCCAGTTGACTCACCTCATTGTTACATCCAAATTCAGCAATTCCTCGAAATGGTTACAGTAAATCCAATTTTTTCAGGTTCAAATCCCACAAATTTTCCATGGTCCCCCCTTAGGCGCCTCCGGGGGCGCCTGTGGCGCCGGGGAAACCACCGTGACGGGTGAACGATGGGAAGTGGTGGGCAAAGGTCGGGTTTTCTGCAGCGGTCAGTTGGGAGATTTGTGGAGACTTCTATGGGATTTCTATGGGGAATTGACTCGCAGCATGGGCAATTTTTGCTTCCTCTGGCTTCCATGTCTTTTTTTAAATAAATAGATACAATAAAATAAATATGTACATAAATATATAAATAAATAGATAGATAAATAAATAAATATATAAATATATATATATTTACCTGCTTTTATACCTTTTCCTTCTTCTGTCAACATGGCAGTGTGAGGAGATTGTACCATAGCGGCAGGTGATCTGGAACATTTGATTCTTCCCGAAATGCCTTAATCACCACCATCTCATTGTCAGCGATCAAAAAAATGCACAGGTTTTAATCAACCAAAGAGGACATATTTCATGATTTTCATGGGATTTTCTGGGGTTCTTAGAATTTATCAAGTATCTAGGGTATCATGTTCGAGCAGTGGCTTAGCATCAACCCCTGTTGGTTGATCATCTTGTTGGGGGATTCATGAATCATCATCCATGAAATAGGAATCCATTCTTAACCAACCGGTTAAATGCTATACCGCTATACATACTCGATATATAAACACACAAGATTTTGAAGACCACTCATGCCGACAGAAAACCCAGCCATTATGTAGTTCAAACATGGGAGGGGGGAATTGAACCTTTGCAACGGGTTTTAAGCCGCTGGAATTTTGGGGCATCCTGTTGTCAAAGCCCGTTCATTTTCCATTCTGGGATGGTGACGATAGACCAATAAATGGCTCCGAATTGAATATTCATCAATTACTCATCACACTTCAGACACTTCAGGGCATTCCAACTTTAGAGTTTTTTGGTCAATTGTGGGGGGATGGTTGAACACGGTTGGAACATGACCACTGAATGTTTGGCCCAATGATTAGCTTGACACAGTGGAGTCCAGTGGACACATCTTGTCAGGCAAAGGTTCCTATGAAAGGGTCACCAGCCTGAAGTACGTGGGCGAAGGCCACGGCAGCATCAGCAAGGACGAGTTGGTGACCAGTGGGGCATCCATAGTCATGGCCACGAGACGTGTATGAGAAATAAATATTTGTTTGATTACCTACGCATAGAATATCATACCATATCATAAGATAACATAATATACTACAAAGTACAACACAAAATAACATAATATAGCAAACCATAACAGAATAGAACAGAACACGACACAGCATACGACATATCAAATGCACCGCATGCATACACTGTCATTATATGGATATCCCTACATATCACAGATCTATGTATTCTTCTCTGATGACATGGCACTGAGGAGCCAAATGTCTTGATCAGTGGACGCAGTCCAGTGATTGGGGCGATCGTTTGCATGCTGTGCATTCCAGTGCTCTTAGGCGCCGAACTGCATTTGGAGATAGGAGGGGACTCCGGGGACCCATTTGGAATTGTTTGGAATGAATTGTAGGTCAATCCTTTTGTCATGTTTTGAATTGGATATTTCTAGTCACTTGGATGTTTCTTTGGATCTGTGACGCTGGCTTCAAAAAACATGTATGGAATGTTTCGTTCTTGAAGTTTGTTCTCGTTCAGACTCACTAGTGGCGCTTTCTGCTCGACGGCAGACTATCTCCGATGGGCACATGGGCACATGCACATACATTCCCAGTATAGGTGTAGTAACACACATGCATTTGCATATTCCCCTGCCCCTGCCCAGCCTGTGGATGAAAAGGTGACGGGTGGTACCCCTGTGACTGTTGGCTGATACTGTATCTCTTACCATTATTGCATTGCTTGCTGTTGACGGACATCAGGCAGAAGTAATTCTTGAATTGCCCTTTGCATACCACAGTGGCCCTGTATCGCAATGTTGGTCACAGATGTCTATGAATTTCTTCGCTCATATCCGCAGCATGTTTGTTGGTTTCATCGTGTTCCATCTCTATTTTTAGCACATGGTGGCCTATTTGGCAGGATCATTTGGCTTCGTAGGATATAAGTTCTTAAAAACCTTAAAAACCCTTCTTGGTGGTTACAAGTTCCCATTTTCTTACCGTTATCCCATTGGTAAGTGGGTTGTAGCCCTCTTTACTCACCTGTAAGTCATCATTATTTTGATATGTATCACCTGTTTTTTTCTGCTCAGATAGCCGTTGTATTTGTTTGAAAGGTGAACGCATGCAACAAAAATCCCAGTTGACTTGGTGAAGTCTCCATTTTTCCAGGCCTTGGCTACCTGCTGATTTGGAGCGAACGCCCCGTTGGTGCCGATGATGTCTTGGTGCCCCCAGTGGCCACGGAGCCGGACTGCGCCCCTCGGACACCGGCGAAGCCTGGGCTACTGATGGCTGACCCTCCGGGATGGGACATGCAAATAGCTGCAAAAAGGAACGATTAACCTTCCTTATCCATCCTGGGTACCCTAGCATGGCATCTCGCAGTTAGAAAGCATTGGCATTGAGGTGACACACACACACAGATACATATTTATATTTATATTTTTATTTATATTTATTCGCATATATATATATGTATATGTATATGTATATATGCATACATATGAATTGAAATATCTGAAGATAGAGGCTGAAGAACACGCATATTTTGCAGTCAATGATGAGTGGTTATGACTGTTATTTCAGCCACGGTCAATAACTGCTGGATTTATATGTTGGAATTCTCCAGATTCACGCAGATTCCTATGATATTCCTTAGCTCCCATTTGAATCATGGCCCTCGGCCAAGGTCAGCGGATTTGATGATTGGGTGAGCCATCCTTTGCTTCAGTGGGCTTGTGTCGGGGGACAACAAATCATCGCCAGCTTTAGAGAAATCTCAGCTTTTTGAAGGCCATTGAAGATTCTATGACACTATGATTCGCTTTTCTGATAGACTGAGAGCTCAAAGGAAACCGATGTGGCGGGAATTTCGGGTTGACCAGAGATGAGGGTTTTCTGCCATGAAAGGTTCTCGGTCCAGTGGTTTGGCCGGGGATAGTTGCGCAGCACATCCCCAGTCATCATGGGGTTGTACAACACCAATTCCTTGAACACAGCCCAAGTTTCTTGGAATATTCCCCTTGGAAGCCATGACATTTGCGACATTTTTGGCAAGACACGAGTAATTCAAAAGGCAGTGGAAGACCCATCAAACAATCCCCCAAAAAGACAATCATCACTGATTTTTCAGCTTTCTGAAAGCACCCTTTGAATCTAATTGAGATGAGGTGAAATTTGGTGAATTTCCAATGTTTGCTTAGCTAAATCCATCTATAGCTTTTATTCTCCACACTGCTTCATTTTATCGATTGGTGATTTCAATTAATTTCAATTAATTTCTATTTCATCTTGTGGAAATCCTTCATGTCTGGGGTCATCCCGAGTCATCCCTGAGGAGAAGAGCTGGACCAAGGAGCGGCAGAGCTACTGCTGCAGCCACTTCCAGCGCGGCTGTGCTCCCTTGGTGCGCGAGGTGCCCAAGTGGGTGGTGCACGACGTCAACGTGCCGGTGAACGTGCCAGTGAAGAAGGAGGTGCCGGTGCCTGTGACCAAGGTGCAAACGGTGCAGGTGCGAGTTGGGATGGGGTTGGGGGTGTGGGTTGGGGGTGTGGGTGTGGCTGGGGAACTGATTTGGAAGTGGTGGTGGTGATGATGATGATGATGATGGTGATGATGATGATGATGATGATGATGAGGTTATACATGTTTATAGCACATGTAGATATGGGTGGTGAACCCTGTAGATTATGAGAGAGCGGGACGCACCCTAATAACCAAGTAGGGCTATGGCGATGGGCAGGGGGTGAGCACCTCAGTATGTTGCAGATGTCACTGTCTTCTGTAAGACTGTTGCGGCAAGTTAGGGTGCCTGTGGTGAGACATGGGTCTCATTTTTTTTAGATCCCCCATTTTTCCATCCAAATCCAAATTCAACAACTTTCCCACATACAGTAAACAGTGCTTTCTTCAATTGGCAGATTGGGGCACCCTCCAAGTTGTACCCATAGGTCTGTATCTCAGGTGAAGGCACCAGATCCCTACGAGTGTCATGACACGTGCCTTGTCGTGGTGCGGCCTTGGGGGAATGGTTGAAAAAACCGGATCTGTGGATGGTTCCCCCCATCATTCACCATGAATTCGCCACAGCTCGTGTTATTTCCATGATTTCATCCTGTTTCTCCCAGAATCACCCAGAATTCCTCAATGAATTTTCCAAAAAATCCCAGAAAGTGTCCAAGATTTTTGACAGACAGAGAGAGATTGATATACCCTACAGTACGTTCACATAGCTAAGATATGGAAGCCATATCGCAGACCCGCCGAGGGCCTCAGTGGATGCCTGGTCGGCCGACCACCAGCGCTGGTGCTGCTATGCCGCCAGCGTGGGGTGTAAGCCGATCATCGTGGACAAGACCGTGTACAAGACAGTGACCAAGATTAAGGAGATCCAGTTGGAGGTTTCCAACAAGTCATGGTAGCCCAAAATATCATCATCCATGGATTTTCCATTGTGAACCATCCAGCTATTGGGGATCCCCCATTTATGGAAGTCTGGAAATCCCCAGTTTTTTCCGAACGATACCCTGGGGTACTAACAGGAAGATGTGGAAAGACCCATGGGGAAACCCGTTTGGAAAACGATCGACTTTTTATGGTGGGTTTTCCACAGTTTCGTTAGTTTACGGAAGGCTACCCTTTTTCCGATCAAGGAGATCCATTTTGGGAATGGATCAAATCATTCTTGCATATTTGTACGCGATGAACATCCAGCACCAGCTATTTTGTTGGGGAACAGAATGGTATGGGAGATGGTTCTGGGTAAACAAATTCAGCCAGATCTGGCAAACTGGTTGCTCAAAAATGGGGCCTGAAAAAGGGGGATATCGTAAACTGGGGACAGAGAGAGAGAGAGAGATATATATGTATATCGCAAAATATCTTGGCTCCTATATTACTCCTACCTCCTCTGTCCCTGATGTCGACTTCAGATGCTCCGAAGCTGGACCCCTTTTTCTCAGACTGTTCAATCCATCCTACTCCACGGCTCTGAAAACAGGGAACGCTGGAAGCTACTAACCTGAAAAGTGAAATTAGCAACCAAGCTTAGGGATTGCTGCAGCGAACATGTAGTTCTCTGTGAAGTCCATATCGCTTGTAAAAAGATGCATGTAATACACTTGGAAATGGCTCCATGCATTTGGGTGTTTCGTAAGAAATGGGGCACCCCTTTTCATCATCGGTTTACCGGTTTGTCTAGTAACAATGAATCCGGGTTTGGCACCTCAGGAGTAGTTGATAGTGAAAGTTAATCTTGGGGCGCCGGGATGCCCCAACACCAAAACAAATGGCATGGTAAACATGGGGATAGCCATATGACATCATTGACAATGTTATATTTTGGCGTGCTGATTGTTGAGATCGAAAGTCACTGTCATCATAAAAATCGCAATTTTTGGGTCCAAAATGAACAGATTCAATGTTAAGGCCTGGCTTCCAAGTGGCGGAACACTCCATCATCATCGCAGCGTTACACATATTTTTTTTTGTCTCAACACTTGGTGCACCCCTTAATCCCATGGTCTTAAGCCGATCATTTTCCCTGCCGGATTCACCAATTGGATCCTCCGTTGTCATCCAACGCGGCAAGAGTTTTCCAAAATCACTGCAAATCAAGGTTTTCATGCAAAAGCCATGGAAAAAACCATGGAAAAAACATGGTAACATATTGTAACATCATCTATAAAATGGTGAAATTTCTGCCATGTTCGATGAACAAAGGGTAGCCAAATGGTTCTGAATGCCGTCTCGATGTTTTCATCGCAGGAGGTGCCTGTGCCACACTACATTGAGCCCAAGAAGCCCAAGGCGATGTGATAAAGATAGGATGACAGATGATGACAGATAGGATATTGCGTGATATTTGTATACTTATTCTTATCTTATATAGCATATATATATATATATTTAAATATGTTCTGTAGATTGTGTAGAAGTGTAGATATTGTTCATGAAGATTTCTTGTAACTCATTTGGGACATCTGCAAATCCGTGAGCTGATCATATTCATGTGTCCAGCACGACCTTACCTGCGAAAGTGAGATAATAAAAGTTGTGTACTCAAGTTTTTGGTTTATCAACATTTTTTTTTTGCGTGACATCATCACCACAATGATACTGAGAATCATTGTCAAAACAGGCGAAATGGTAATAAGTCTGATGACAACAAGAACAACAAACATAGAATAAAACCATACTGTAATTAATAATGTAATTGATACTGATAGTGGTTTGATAGTAGAATTAGCAATGGAATTCTTTTTAATGGTAAAACTAATGAGTCGTAGAAACAATGACATAATTCACACTGGAATGTGGCATCTCTAATAGAACTACACATATAGTCACAATAGTGATATTGACTTATTGACAATAGACTTGACAACAGAATTTATTATGCAATCAAAAATACATTAAAAAAACAACCATGATAATCATAACCATAGTATTATAGCATGATAAATACTATAATTAACCGTAGCATCATCATCATCATCCCCATCCTCATCGCATCGCAGGTGCACATCGTGCATAAGGAGGTGCCCTACGAGGTCCCTGGTACTCCCAAGATCATCCCGGTCAAGCTGCCACGCAAGGTGCCTGGGATCGGATTGGATGGTGACCATGGGGCCATGATGACCATGTTACAGTGCCCTTGGGGTGACTGACCATTTGGTGGGCGGATGTGCCCCAATGCATTGACCCAAAGAGTCATGGTTTCTATCACACATGGTAAGCCCCATGTTAAAAACCTGCGGTTTTGATTCCTGGATTGAGATTCCCCATCTTCCAGGCAGATTTCCATGATATAGCCATTGAATGCCTACTACCAATCCCCAATATATTCCCATTCTATACACATTGATTCACCCAGTGTTGAAAAATCTTCACTACCAACAAAAGCACCAACATAGGGGTAAAAACGTACATTATACATACCCCTCAGCAAAAACCAGCCCCATCCTAAAGGTTCTTGCCCATCCTAAAGGTTCTTGTTCGCTATAGATAGATAGATAAGATAAGATAAGATAAGATAGAGAGAGAGAGAGAGACAGACTGACAGACAGACAGACCGACCGACAGACAGACAGACAGAGAGAGAGTGAGAGAGAGAGAGACACACACACACACGCACGCATATATATATATACATATATATATATTTACGCATAAGCAGACATATCCCTAGAATTTAGGCTTCGAAATCCTCTTGTTCCTCCATCGCCAGGTGATCTACAAGGACCGGGTGCAGGTGGTGCCCAAGCTGATCAAGGTCCCGGAAGCCGGGAAGGTGCAGATCGTGCACAAGCCGGTGCCGCATCCCGTGCACGGCCATGCCATCTACGTCCCCCGGAGTTTTTCAGGATTTCGACCCGGAGATTGGGTGGGTGTTTTTGAAAACCCATTTTGAAGATCCGGCAGAACTCTTGGGCTGAGTTCGGTGATTTTGTTTTAGCATCGTTTTTCCAAAGAGATTAATGGGGACAATTATTCTCCACAATTTATAGCCTTAGATCTGCAACTCCAAGGTCAAGGTGCCTGTTGTGAAGGATTCCTATGACTGCGATGAAGGTTGCTGGGACTGGTTTTTGAGGGGGTTCCGGATTTTTTTTTATCCCTTTGGAATTGCCATAAAAAGTGGCATTCCTTCTTTCGAGATAAACTCAGATTGGTGTCCGGGGCTTTGGGAAAAATATCGTGCTAATTATATATAAACATGTTGGATAAGAAGGGAGAGGAGACCGATGTTTTGACAATTTGAAGATAAGTTATTTTTTGGTTCAATTAGTATCTAGATGATACTTCTAATAGTTGTACCCATGAAGTTCCCCTCATATAATCACATCATTCCCCTTTCATCCAATTCGGCAGACGCGCATCGAGGGTTTGCAGATGAAAATTCGAGTCCGAAGGATTTGGGAGGTGGAATTTCCATGGTCTCTGAACCCAGTCAAGTTCGAGCCATAAAATGGGTACGGATCAAACTTATCACTCCAAAATGGATGGTGCAAAACAACAATTGGTCAGAAAGAAAATTCAATCAAGTAGAAGGACCCAAATAGAACTCACCTCCCCTTAGGCTTTGAGAACTGGTTCTTTGGCTGGTCCTCTGTGAAGAAGCACTTCTGCTGCAAGACGGAGCAGAAGGGCTGCCCTCACACCTGGCACGGCAGCTTGGGCTTGCTGAAGTACAGTAAGTTTTTCTTTTTAAGGGCTGATTGATAGAAAACTCCGCCAGGAATAGGGAATCTGTATCTGTTGTTATTGTTGTTGTTGTTGTGGTCGTCGTCGTCGTCTGATTTTTTTGTTGGAGTTGGGGACTCATGGCAAATCCATGTTTTTGGATTTGGACACACCCACTAAATCTTGGTTGGGTCTGGAATATTTGCCATAAAACATCACCTGGGTTATGTCCTCTACCTGAACGGCTAGTGAAGGTGGTTAATGCTGGAGGCAAATTCCATGTTTTCGGGTCCTGTCGGTGAGTGGTGATATGGCTTGGGAGAGAACCCAATATATGACCATTGTCATCACCATTGTCATCACCATGATCATTCAGTCTCATCCATTATCATCCACTGTCAACTACCCTTCGCCAGTGGTTTTCCCTAATATCCCCTAACGATTTTCCTTTGGCATCACCCATTCATCATCATGGCATTTTTTTAAAATCTCAATATCTTCACCTAGATCTAGCTTTAGCCCAGCATTCCGAGGCAGCCTTCACCTTCATAGCCACGTGCACGTGGAGGGTGAGGGCCATGCCACCGGCCGCATCTATGACTGCCATGCGGGCTTCTCCAACTGGCAGCAGGGCTGGTCCGTGTCCAAGCCACTTGGTTGATGTGGATGATGGCCTTAGAAACGGCAATATTTATTGGTTGATTTATCTATGAAAAATGGTGATTTTCCCTGAATTTGTATGCTTAGCAGAGGGTCATCTGGTTTTATCCATCAAAAACGGTGATTTAACCAACAAAGATGTTGATATAATTGGGATTTAATGGGGACTAATGATTAATTAGGATGAATTACAACGACCTCACGTCGTGACCTCACTGGAAGAATGGTTAGTACAGTAGTGGTAACTATCCCAACATAGTCTTAGTTCAAGTTTGTGAATTATTATAAGTTACCCCGATATATGTTTATGTTGATGTATACGTGTATATGCACACAAGATGTGCATATGTATGGACATTCGAAAAATGAATGTGTACAGTGTCTATGTATATAGTATAGGCGTAAATGTGCATGTGTACATTCTCATATGCGGGTAAATTCAAGTGATTCCATATGATCGTACTTGGATGTTTCAAAGGGATTCTATGATTTACAGAAACTGGAGGATTTGAATAGCACATCACATTAGAAGAAACGGACTATCTGGGACGACCTGGGACGCGGCAGGAAGAAGTGGTGCTGCAGCCGGGAAGAGCGTGGCTGTGAGAAGTTCTACTGCGAGGGCGACAGCAAGATGTGGCATGCGGCCAAGAAAGACTGGCGCCTTGAGAAAACGAAGCGGGACGCAGTGGCTAAACTAGCTAAACCCATCATTTTAATGATGGTTTAACAGGGTTCAACAATATTGAACCATCATGTGCAAGGGGTTTCAACTTGTTCAATCATAAAAACTGTGGGGATTTAAACCCAATGGAAATGACTCTCTTGGCTCATGATTAATTGCGGGCTTAAACCAGCTATACCACCCTATATATTGTATATACATACTTCATGGAATGACAGAAGACAGAAGGTTTCAAGCACTGCGCAAAGTGTTCTCTGTTTTTCATGTGAAATCCAAGAGGTATCATTAGTCATGTGGGTGGGTTGCAATGGTCTTGCTGATTTCTCCCATAAACTCTATTTGTGATGGAAAGTGTGGGGAAATTCGGGAACACAAGCTCTGTGAAAAAAACACAGCCAAAGAACTACATGGCGTACCCGTTTCATCATACATCGCAACCCTGCAATACTTTGAACAGGAACTGTAGCGCAATCGCTTGAAAGATACCAATGGCGAGTCCGCTCTGATTGTTCCTTGAACGGTCTTGTATCGATCAATGCCAGCCAAATGGGCTTGGGTCAGCATATGTAGCGATACCGTGACAACCACAGGTTTTGTAACTTTTCGTTCCAAATTGCAGTTGTTTTCTGTTTGAGACGTGACATCCTTAAAACAAATCACACACATCCCAAGTCTATACATTTCTAAATCCGGAGAATTTCCGGAAATCCAAACAACATCTCCAAATTTCTCTTGGTTGCCCTAGGGTAAACTAACAGGTTGCGCTGTGCCTGGGCAACTGGGCACAAAGCGCCTTTTTTCACTAGCGAGCGTTGCACGCTTTGGCTAAGTGTTTCAAACAACTGGAGAGATGCCAATGACTTCTTTTCAGTCAAAGAATGACACCACAGTCAACCTAACATGTATATCTAAACACACACACACATATATATATATAAATTATATGTATGTATATATGCATATATGTATATACATATATATGTCTAAATGTATTATATATATGTGTATATATGTGTATATATATATATATATGTATACATATGTATATGTATATGTATGTATATATGTATATATGTATATATGTATATATGTATATATGTATATATATGTATATATGTATATATATGTATATATGTATATATGTATATATGTATATATGTATATATGTATATATGTATATATGTATATATGTATATATGTATATATGTATATATGTATATATATATGTATATATGTATACAGGTATATATGTATATGTGTATATATATATGTCTACATGAAAATATGTCTAAATGTAAATATGTATGTATTTATATATGTCTATATGTCTATATGTCTATATATATGGTAAATATATGTATGTGCATATATACCTATATATATATACATATGTAAATAGCGTTAACATGTCATGCCGACCCCCACCCAAGCCCGATGTTCACGAAGCATAGATGACATGAGCAAGTTGACAGGAACGTTAACATGCCCTGTCCACCCAAGCCCGATGTTCACGAAGCATAGATGACGTGAGCAAATTGACAGGAACGTTAACATGCCCTGTCCACCCAACCCCTATGCTCGCGAAGCATAGATGATGTGAGCAAGTTGACAGGAGCGTTAACAGCCCTCCTCCAAAACCCATAAAATGGTAAAAAAAAGGGGTTCCGTTACCAGTTGCCCGGGCATGGCGTTGGGAACTAACAAAGATGCGGAAAACCCACCATTTGTAGATCATTTTCCGGTTGGTTCAACCGTTCCATCCCTGGTTGGCGAGGTGCTGCAGCCACTTCCAGCAGGGCTGTGCAGCCACCACCCTGTCGCCCTTGGGATGCGATGCCACCTGCGAGTTGAAAGGACCAAACTTTGTCAAAAAGGGAAAATGGATCATTTATAGATATGATTAGATATAGATACTGTAGATAGATAGATAGATAGATAGATAGATAGATAGATAGATAGATAGATAGATAGCTACATAGATAGATCGATAGATCGATATAGATTTATGTAGATTATGTAGATTATGTAGATTATGTAGATTGTATAGATAAGATTAGACAGGATTAAACTGGATTAGATTGGATCAGATTCTATAGTATATAGCTTCGATATAGAGAACAGATGAGATTGGACCGGATTGGGTTCGATTGGTAGATCGGAAAGATCATCTATCGAATGTATCCAATGGGCTCGGGCAATTTCAGCGGCCAAGGGTGGCTTTCACCATCCGAACAGCCGTAAAATCCACTATGGAACCACCAAAGCCAGCGCAGGGCACAGCTCGTCGTGCCAAGAGCGGATTCACTGGACTTCGCACCATTTCTTCTCAGGCCTGGCGGGCTGGATACCACGAGATATAGATGATTTTTAGTGGTGAGGGTGCTAATGAATGGCAGTTTACTGTTTTTTCCGTGCAGAAGATTTGGAGAGCCTCGGGCCATGGCAGGACGCGAAAATTCCTGCGCACTCGCGTACAGCAAGGTGCAAGTGGAATGCGACGTGTGCCCTTGGCGATTTTGTTGGGGAGACGAAGATTTCCAGGGGACGATCCACATATTTTTCACATATCTACATTGACATAACATTGACATTCTATTTTTTAAAAAACACCAGTGTAATTTGGTTCCGAACTTGGGAAGGTGACAAACCATGACAAACCCCCAAACTCCGGATTTGGACGGTTTCACCGGTTTCACCCACTGAAAATTCGGGATTTGGAGGGAAATCAGAGATTTTGTCAGAGTTTCGCCCAGCAAAAACTCGATTTTTTCGCATCAAAGCCTGGGATTCCCACAGGACCCCGGTGAAGCAGAGCTTGCTGGAAAATTTTTCCACCAGGTTATGATTCATGATTTTCCCATTTAAAACTCTATTTTGTTCGGGGATTTCCCATTTAGATGTTTGATGACACCGGAGAGCAATGGTCCCAGGTGTCGCGCCTGCTCCATCGAAGCAGCTGGCTGCACGGTGCAGAAGGTTGCCACGAGTGATGCCTTCGATTGCCATGCGGCCTACAACAACTTCTTCCGCGCTTGGTGGGGATGGGGGGGATGGGGGGATGGGGGGATGGGGGGAAAGCCATATGAAATATGGCAAGAATTTGATCAGAACAAACCGGATTTCGTGATGGCCCTAATAGAAATGCTATTGGTATTGGTAGAAATGATGAAGAATGAGTTTTGGACTATCCAAATTTTGAAACAAATCCAGATGGATAGAGTCAAGGTCCGATCCTTCTCCAGGTCGCCATCCAAAAAGAAGTGGTGCTGCACCATCAAAAGGATGGGCTGCGAGGGAGAGTCGCCTCCCTCAGTGGACCCGGGCGTGGGCATGATGTGGAAGCACGTGCAGGTGGACTTGGGATGGGGCTGATCGGAAGGATATGCTGAGAACGGTTCCCTTGATAGATACCATCCTGATTCTGGTCATGATGTATTTGGGGCTTCACTGACTAGCTCGCTTTGAAAACCTTGTGTTCTTTAAGAAACCCATCACACTTATGAGCCCTATATAAGTAACTGCATAGCCCATTAAAAATCCCTATGTATTACATCATTAAGAACACACACACAGATATAAGTGTGTATGTATACATATATATATATATATTTATACATATATATATATATATACATGTATATTTGTAACCCCTCACAAAACACACCCATTACAAAAGCGTGTATATAATCTCATTATCATCCCATAATGTTTGGCGTATCTCGTGCTGCCTCACCAGGTGAACGGCTACTGGACCTGGCAAGCCGTTGCAAGCGGCGGCGGTGGCTTTGTCAAATTGCCATACGACTGTCAAGCAGGGCTGACGCACCGCAGCACAGGGTGGTCCCCGGGAAAGAAGAGCTGGTGTGCCCCGGCGGAATTGGTGAAATGGATGACTCTTCCATGAGGTTTCCCAAGTCATGGGGATACCCCCCAATCATCCAAACAATTGACAATTCTAGTGCATGGTGACTTGGGGAAGCCCACAGAGAATGATAATTCAAAGGTAATATCAATAGTAATGTCACGGGGAATGGGCTTTCTTAGGGAATGTAATTCAGGAACATGTAACATGGATATTTTTGGAGGTTAATAAGAAGCATGGCGAACCCCATATTTTTACCATCCCACCAACCATTTTTTTAGGGGTCACTGGGCGTCATCCCACAATTTTGGGTATACCGGTTGACCGAAAATAAACTCCAATTATTGGGGAATATCAATCCCCTCCCTCTAAAATTGAATACGATTCCTAGAAAGCTTGGTTTAGGATTGGATCTATTCATTTTAGGTCCCTCATGGGGGGTGTTTAAACATCACGGGGAAAGGATTATTATATAAGTATAAGTATAAGTTTAATTAATGTTAACCCCGAATTAATGAAGCCCCAGTTTATTCAAAGGGGGAGTCCAAAATAGTGATATTTCCCTTCATAAATGGCACACTGGTACACCTCCAATGATATTATCGTAAACTAGGGGTTGATTAATCTTGGGTTGATACTACCAACATTGCTTTGAGGCTGCCAGCACAAGCAGATCGGTTGTATGGACGTGTCTGCCGGTGCCGCAGCTGGCGCTGCAGCCGCTGCTGCGGCAGGTGGTGCCGCGGCGGGCGCGGCCGGCGGGCGCGCAGGTGCGGCGGGCGCGCACCCGCCGGGTGTGGCCGGGCATGGCATGATGTGGAAGCACACCATGTCTGGAGGTCAGTGGCATTGGGAACCTCGGCTGGGAAGCTGGTTAACATGGGTTAACATATCTTGGAAATCCCTGTGATGGGCGTGGATTCGAATGTTGAATCGCTAATTATGTTGTAGATCTTCCCGGTCGAACGGGCAACAATGTTCCGTGAATAGTCCAATTTGGGGTTCTACTTTATGCTTATTATATCAGGGCCCGATCATGGCTCTATGAATTGTGGCTGATAAACCAGTGAATTCCTCTTTTTTTGAATGCATAGCAGCGCATATATGCCATCACGCACACACGCACACAAATAACGGAATGTATTCATGCACGCACACACATGCATACACACAGATACACAAATTTATTCATGTACATACACATGCATGTAGATATAGGTGTAGATGTAGATCACCGTAGATCACCCATATATAAATAAACAAATAAGCAAACAAACAAACAAACAAACAAACAAGCAAACACATAAAGAAATAAATAAGATAACATAAATAAATAAGTAACTAAATAAGTAAGTAACTAAATAAATAAGTAAATAAATACATGAATAGAAAATGACTAGATAAATAATAGTAATAACAATAGATCACAATAATTGCAATAACAACAATAATAACAATAAACATTATTAGAAATTCGATATAGATATACATATACGCTAGCTTGTTCCCTTGTTGGCGATTCCCGCCATGTTTTTCTTTTTGCCACGGGTGTTTCTGCGTGCTTTGCTTGGTCCCAAGCGTCAGGAACAGCACCACATTGCGGGTCACATGGACATGGCGCAAATGCACGACTGCAGTGCGCCACATGCCTTACCCGCAGACCAGAAGGACGGGAGGTGGTGAGGGCCATTCCAAAGGTGGGACCTGGGATGGTGGACTTGTCATCCAGGCATGTTAAACAGGATCCTAGCTGACTATCTTGTAGGGCATTCTGGGTGGCAGAAGCCACCATCACTTCAGTTGGAAGCACCGTTCGCAGTCCAGCGGGAGTGAAAAAGAGGTCGCCAGGAAAAAACAAGAAAATTATCGGGACTAACGTTTCTATCCTTTCGGGGACCCTGTGACCCTGTGAGTGGGAAGCCCGAGAATTTGAACATGCCACGTTTCTGGACATTTGCTTGCCAAAGTCCTGTACAGGACTTCTGCTGCAAATTCTTCGGTCGGGGCTGTTAGTGAGTGATGGACATCCAAGAAGGACACTACGTGATTTCGAGCGCAGTGGTGGGTGCACCATGGTCACCCCTGAGCCCCAGAGATTTTGACATGCAAGCCTGCAAGCCTGCCAAAAGATCCCAAAATCTATTCTGAAGTCTGCCAAAGAGCTACAGTAGGTGGTGAGGAAAAAAAAACAGCATTGCGCTCAACAAGAATTCAGGTGAATTTGCCAAAGTGCATTCTGTAGAACTCCTACAGGTGTTCCGAGCACGTTTTGACAAAGTGAGACGTGTTTGCAGCAACCGAACTTTCAAACTTTCCCTTGCCCGATTCACAGAAAAGAAGCTGCTCCCGTGTCAGAACGTTTCCACTGGGAGGCTGCGATTTCAGCTGTGTCCAAACCAATATGACGAGAAATCACTAAGGCCTGGGCCGAGGCCTGGACCAGGCGGGATTGAAGTCTATGGCAATGGGCTGAACATGATTGGAAACCCATGGAAAACCAACCATGATGGTTAATCACTTAATCATCATTTTCCCTATTCGAATATTCTATTTTGGAGCTATCTCGTCGTTTTTGGACGGACCCAGGGCCGATCTTGAGAACAGGGTGAAGCCGCGAGGCCATGCTTGACTAATGCATCATGTTTTTGCAATATTTCTGGGAGGATTTCCTACAGAGTCTAAAGCAAACAGATTTTTTTTCAGGGTATTAAAGATTGCTTATGATGTCATAGACTGGATTCGCACCCCGCCACCCCGCTGCCGTGTGTGGCAACCGGGGCAACCGGGCCCTGCAGGCAAAGGGAGGCAAAGGAGGTGAAAAAAATTACGAGCCCTGGGACCCAGCGAATTGGCATCGAGGTCAATGGGTTTACGACATTTTACACAAAATTTGTGCTTGTCCAGAAATGGGTACGCAAAAAAAATAGACATTCCATTTTTTTGAGCCAGGTATAATATAGTTTTAGTCAAGAAGCAGTCGTCTCAAGTAGTCGTCATTATGATTGGAATGATTCTCCTATATATCATGACAATGTTCTGTAAAGTAATCCTATCATGTCCTGCAAATGTATGATTAGAATGTCCTATGATCTCCTTGCATTTTCATTTTACGAATGCCGGCGAGCATGGCCCATCTCAAGTTTTGGTCAGTACCAACGCGCCTAAAAACTGACCGGCGAAGTCTAAGGCAACGTTTGGCAGAAGCCCGTGCGACGGCGCGAAAGCGAGGCGCACTATGGGTGTGTGGACTTTTTGATGGCTTAGATCGGTTAGATTATTCTTTCCCCTTTTTTTGTCAATTCAACCCATCAAAATTATAATCTAGATTTTCTGGTTGGTGGTTTGGAACATTTTTTTGTTTCCATAATATATGGGATAATCCTTCCCATTGACTAATATTTTCAGAGGAGTTGAAACCACCAACTAGTTTTTTGTTTCCCTTTGGTGTCCAAATTCACATTTTTTGCTGGTGAAATTCTTCCCTTTGCCGAGGTGGGCCCAGCCCTTTTGGAGAAGGCTCATTTGGGGGCCGTGCATCGCAGGTTGTAAGAAAACATATTTTTTGGGAGTATATATATAATATATATATGTATAATATATTTATATATGTATAATATGTTTATATATGTATAATATATAGATGTATAATACAACTGTATAATATATATGTAATATATATATATATTTATAATATATGTATAATATATGTCAAAGGGAACCAGGCGCTAGGTGCATGTATCATATGCACATACCAACATACATTCAAACGCCCTTTGTGGCTCAAGCGCCCCTTGAAGGAAAACAAATCGTGCTGTCGCTGCCGCGCCATAACGGGACTCGGTTAACCAGCAAAGCAGGTATCGAAACTACATTTGGCAACACCTAGAACAAGGGTAAAATTGTTCACAGGTTATCAGCCGTAGGGCTCACTTCTCCCTTCGGGAGAGTGGTACCTGCGTGCTGGTAGCCGGGCCGTCTGAGCAATTGATTGAGGACACAAAGGACCAATCAGCTCATCATCGCAAAGATGCAAGGCGGTAGCGGAGATTCGCGCACCACACAGTTTACCTTCAACGAGAACACTGCCATGCCGGTCGAGGAGGTCAATCAGTCTTCCCCTGGTGACACGGCAGACAGTGGTGGGATACGCCCTACCCGAACTACACAGTCCGGATGGCAAGTAACGACAAACAGACGAAGGATATCCACCCAAAGTACACCAAGATCTTCTCGAAACAGTCCTCGGAGTGATGTTGTCCGCCAAGGGCATCGACCATCTCGAGGACGAACTACTCCTAGGGACAGATCCACCAGGGCCGTGACCGACCGAGTTGGTGAGAGGACCGGGGATAGTCGTGTTAAGAGGAGATCAACGGATACTTCTGTGGCTAGTGAACCTATTGCCATGATAGAAGAACTACGGGCACAATGTCAATCCCTACGTAGTCAGTTGAACCAAATGGAAGCATACGCCGCATCTAGAGATCAACTGATTCATGACATCGAGATTAGATTCACCGAATATCTTCAGGAACACAACCAGAATGTGTTTGAGGAAGTCAGTGCACTCAATCATAGATTGTCACGTTCCGCGAATGAGGTTGCAGAATATCAAGCAGAATTAATGGTAGCATCTCAGGAAGATGAAGGTGCAACAATACGCATCCAAGACCTTGAGCGCCGAGGTGCCCTAATGGAACATGGTGCACGACGGATCCATCAACGTGGTATGGAGATCCAGGAGGAATACAAGGATGAAGTACATCACCTTCAAGGACTATTGAGTAATACGGAGGCAAGACTTCAACAACTTCATCAAACTAATGTCTTAACCACCGATATTGCCAATCGACTATACAATGAAGGTCAGGAAATGCAAACAGATTTCCAGAACTCAATCATGGAATATCGTAATCGATCCGAAATGGCGTCCTTCTCTAGCAATCAACTTGAAGTGATTAGCCAACAACAGTCGATTGCAGTTCATGAACTATCTGAACGGAATCAACTATTGAGTGAAGCTTTGGTTCAGTCTCGTAAACAGGCCGAGCTGTATGAAAGCAGTATTGACGAGATCACTAGAGAATCTAGAAAGAAGGTTTTCGAGGCAAATCAGGCCAAATTAGAAAGTGATCTGAAGCATCGAAACACCGAACATGATACCGTCAAAAGAATTGCATCATACAGGAACCAAGAGGCCGAAGCGATATCACACCTGAGGCTTGAATCACAGGCCAGCTTGAATTCGATCGCGAGGGCCGAGCATTATGAAGAGCTCTACACCAATGAGCAGGAGATGAACTGCGAGTTAAAGGATGAGATCAAGTTGCAGAACACGAAGTTGCGGAGATCGTTGACTCAGGGTACTACGACCGACGGTCGTGGCCCCGATGAGATGCTTGTTGAAGATCTACGTAATCAAGCCAAAATTGCTCAAATTAGGGTTCAGGATCTAGATCATGAAGTTCATGAATGTTTACAAGAAAACATGTTATTGAAAGAAAGATTGGCTGAAGTTACGGATGTAGGGACGTCGTCCCTCACCAATGCTGAGGTCCGAACTCTAAGATCTGAACTAGAGAGTGAGCGAAAATTGAAATTGGCTAGTGGTGTTCAACAATATGAGAGATCATGCATGTTCATGGGGGAAATCCAGGATAGGGATGAAAAGATTGGCATCAAGAATTCTGAGATTGTTGACATGAAACGTCACTTAGATGAACTGAGAAAAAGTCTCAAGGATTCTGAAACATCTATGGCTAGGATCAGTCCTGACACACTTCCCTATTCGGCAGGCATTCCCAACTCCGATCTCGCATCCAGACTGGTCATCGACAAACTGGAGAATGACGTGAGTGAGGCTAACTGTGAAAACGCTATTCTGAAATCTTGGGTTTCGCAGATCGACAAGGAGTTGACTTATGAGACAAATGTGGCTCATTCCTATCGTGGGCATGCTGTACCTCCTCAACAACAACAGCATTCTCAATCAAGCAAAAGAATCGCTGATCTGCTGAAAGAGGTTGACAACAAGATCGCTGGCGGAACTGAGAGGGACTATTACAATCCACCGAGTGGATGGGGCGGTCCGCCTGACCCTGATGGACCTCCGGACCCTTTCGGGCCTAACGGGCCAGGACCACCTCCTGAACCTCCAGGTTTGCCTTCAGTTCGAGGATCACAACGCGATTCAGCAGATGATGTCTCCACAGCGGCTTACACTGCGGAAGAAGTACCGAGAATGTCAAGACGAGAGGCCGACAAAGTCTATGTTAGCCCATGGCCAAAGCAACAGAATCTTGGGGTTTGGCAATCCGATCTCATCAAGAGTGTCGTTCTTTCGGCGAATGACGGGGATAAAGCCGCATGGGAGGCATGGCTACAGCCGGCTATTCGACCAAATCCTGACATCGAGCTATTGAATGACAGTGGAGGGCAACGGTATCAGTCCATCGACGCCAAGTTGTCAATTGCATTGTCAAACGTGATAGCCCAAGCCGGTGATGTTGGTCGTCATGTAGCGATCAAATTGAGATTGAGAACACAAAGTCATAGTCGAAGAGGAACCTATGTAATGGGACGGGAAATCTTGGCTATGATCCTGGAGCACTTCAGAACCCCAGGTCAACGAGAAACATCCTTCACCATGGAACACATCGTATCGATGAAGTATCTCGGTGACT